CGGCATATACAACTAAAGGAGTTACTTTTTTCAATGGTGGCAATGTAGTAATAACAGCTATGTGTAGCATGCTTTGGGACAGGCATCAATACATGTAAGCCATTGTGTAACGTGAATAAACGTGACAACTTCTTTTCCATACTCATAAAATACTTCCAAACACAGAGTCCTTTTGTACGATTCCGGCCACGTAATCGGTTTTTGAATTGGTATCAATTAGTAGCTGTCAGCAGCAACCCATGTCGTCGTTGCAGGTCGATGCCATAGGCCTTGACAAATCCCACTAACATAAGAATATGACACTCTTATCTCAAAAATGTTTGACTGTGTGCTATTCTGTTTGTTATAAGCCTGTCACAGCCAGCACTACGGGCCTAATTGTGTCAAGATCTGTGCCTCCAGACACTGTGTGGGGAACTCCTCTTGTAACTTAACTGGAAACTGTGACGGGGGATGCCGGACAGGGTGGACAGAGACTGACTGCACAGGTAATACCGTTATCCCCTTTGTAGACATTTATGACTTAATGAGTATCGTGTGAAATCAGGAAACACAAAAAAGGTTGCTTCATTTTCTCTGGGGATGTCTGGTTGAATAATGAAATATAATGTTTCACTCAAGTATTATGGTGAACAGGATGGTTTGGGTGCATAAAAGTAACCAGATTACACTGAAATGTAAACTAAAAAATAAAGTGTTTCACCTAAATGGAACTGTTTGGCCAGATTTCGTTTAACTATTAATTTTCGCCAAATGCATGTACGAACCTGAACCTGAATTCATACTACACACGGTAGGAAGATGTCATCGATCACGGAAACGCTGTAACCATTCACCTAAAGAGGTCAACTATCACGCGGAAATATATAAAGGTTGTGACAGATATGATTGACTGTATTCAACCAAAGAATAATAGTGTCTGCAAAAGGAATAATTTTCTTAATTGCCAAAACATTAATAATGTTATTTGTCAATGACCTAATGGTCATGGCAGGTGAAGGTGTTATTTCATTCCCATTTTTTTCTAATTCTGCAAAACAAACCGCTAAAATGAACCATACATGAGACTTAACTGAATTGTAAACTTCAAATTCACTCTTTTGGCCAAATAAAACCATTTGGCTGGATGCAATGCACTAATAATTTCCGCCAAATGTATGTACGAAACTGGTAACTGAATTCATACTCAAAGTAGGAACATGTCATCGAAAACGGAATATGCACTTCACACAAACCAATGGAAAAATTGAAGTTCTGTGAACGGTATGACTGCCAACCAAAAGAGTAAACAGTGTCTGCAAAATGTACTTAATTGTCACAGTATATCACTGACCTAATTGTCATTAAGGGTAAAAGTGTTGTTTCAGTTCCAGCGTCTTTACCTCAGCAAAACAAACCAGTCGGAGGGGAGGAAATACTAATACCTGCAGTGACAGTGACAGCAATCGTTGTCGCTGTAGTCGTAGCAAGCAGTTGCCGTCGGTGTTATCATCTGGAGAAGACGAAGGTAACGGATTCCAACAATATTCAATAATCTATTACATTTCCCAAACATGAGTGGTGGTACAACGAGTAAAGAAAGGAAAAGACACTCGATAGTAATGCAATTACACTATTTGTGTTTTAACCTAGGGTTTTGATATGAAGAGGCATGAATTAATGTAGAGACGATTCTGCTGCTGATTGTTTATGTCTCCTTATGTTTCAGACCAGCATTGCAGGAACCCGAATCTCACGATTACTACAACACAAGTCATCTCTCGAAACCTGAAACAAAACAATCACCAGAATACGAAGAAACTAACCTTGAAGCAGGAACGTATGAGTGCGTCAATGGGATGTCAGATAACGCCCAAGGCTCTGCAGAGACATATTGCACGCTCAACACAGACAAGCCAGGTGACGGTGGCTGAAAAGGAAGGTGACGACATATACGAGCCAACAGAGCCACGCACGCATGAAACGCTTGACAGCACATCACGTGACATTGATGGTGACTATAATAAATTGTGCGAGATTAAATAACGACATTAATACGACCTAATACTTTCACTCGTCTCACTTTATCTGTGCCGGTAAGGACTGAACTCTAGCTGGAAGAGGACTGCTATTTCAAACTGGTCTCGTATCTCTATCAATTGATTGAGATCTAGTTTTTGTCTGTTTGTTGTTTACACACACGACAATAATCCAGCTATATGGCGACGGTCTGTAAATCATCAAGTCTGCACTAGACCACCCAGTGATCAACAACATGAACATCGATCTACGCAATTGAGATACGGTGATATGTGTCAACCAAATCAGCGAGCCTGACCACGATCCCGTTAGTCGCATCTGACAAGCATGGGTTGCTGAAGACCAATTCTAACCCGGATCTTCACGGGTAATTGATTGAGATCTAGTGTATGGGCGATATAACACCATTGACATGTGTAATCATACCATTGACATTGATTATCGGCATGTACTTCAGATATGCATGTTGCCATATTATCATGTGACTTTGAAACACTAGTATTCGATTCCATTACTACATTTTGCTTTGGATGTGGTTATCCCACGTACCAAAATCTAAACCTGTTTCAAAACATAATGTACACCGTCACAGTTGAAGATTTGAGGTTGACGTTTTGAGACGACATCAAGTATGAAGTTTAACGAGATATTGACATTTGTGTATTGACATAGAATCGGAAGATTATAATAATTGCCATGTCTTGTTTTGGGACGAAAATATTATCGCTGGCTTGCATAAGAAGTTCACTCATATAATCGTCTTTTGTTACACATGGAGAAATTATTAAATATGTGATACAAAGAATATAGAGGCATATTTCAACATCACGCACCTTGTATAAAAAGCAGCTTACTAAAACCATTAGGATGTAAGGACACGGGAGATGTATTTACGCCCCGTTGCCAACTGGTGACGTACTATATAACAATTAAACTATACATGTTGTATTTCTTGATATTCAAGCTCACATAATAACACTTGTCTTTACTATTGTTAATGTTGATATCCATGCATCCTTTTTGTATTTATATTGTAAAGCAATATCGACACAATATCGTGTCTAGTTGATCAGCTTTGATAATTATGATTGAGTTGGACGCCTTCGCTTGATTCGTTTATATTTCTTCATGTGCGTATTATGTTTCATATGAAAATGTATTCATTTCACTAATACATTGTACTATATATGGCACACAATTCCTAAGATATGTTTCACGAATGGGTTGTGGGTGTCTAAGTGGAGTGAGCTGTAAGGAGGGTCTCTGATTGCGATTCATCACATTCTGCTTGGACATGATGTTTTCCTGTGTTATCATTGCGGATATTACTGTGTTTTCAGACTTTCCCCTTCCTCTTATATGTTAGTTGGCTCAGTAAGAATATGTCGACATATAGCATATTGATCATGTAATGTAGCAGAGATAGTGATTCCAAGAGCTGTTGATTAATTTCCTCAAAGCGTGTACACCTGATGTTGTTCACCGTCTCATACTTACGAGATAATTCACTCATGTATGCTTGTGTATTAAGCAGGATTTTATAGTCACACCATACATGAGGACCTCACCGCACGGGGAACAACAGAAAGAACATGCAAAACAACATTGATCAATGTACTACTGGAATAAAGTAACTGAGCATTATTTAATGTTATGCCATTTTTAATGCAAAAAGATAATAACACGATTTGTGGTGTTTTCCTTAATCACTGTTTAACTGTTATATATCGAAATCTGTATGATAATAATAACTTCAAAGAATTATTAACAGAAAATACCTTTGTCAACCGCACGAAATGAATAACGTCGTTCTGCGCAGTATTGCCACAAAAGCAACAAGACAAATGTGAGTGAGCTGAAAGTCAAATTCAACCCCACCACACTGTTATCAGCTAGTCAGAAACAGTGAGCAAGAAAGAGTGAATGAGTTCAGTTGTACACCGCATTTAGCAACATTCAAGCAATATCACGGCGGGGGACACCAGAAATGTCCTTCACACATTGTATCCATGTGGGAATCGAACCTGGGTCTTCGGCGTGACGAGCGAACGCTTTCACCACTAGGCTACCCCACCGCCCCTACATTAGAATAAGGTCTCGGCCTAGACCATGGTGTTCTACTGATCGCTGGTGCCAGATGCAAGCTTGGATACAGAGTTGTTGAAACTGAGAGAATTTGAGAGAAAGCCTGATGACATCACCCTTGTAGATTCATCTGACAAGGCTCATTATGAAAAAGAACAGCTACTAAGGTCTGGTCAACTGATGATGCAGCGTGGAACGGTACCAGAAACTGACAGAAACCAGGGTGGACAGAGCATGGCTGTTAAGGAACTTCTGTGTGGTCAGATCTTTTTTCAGAGCTTTGAGAAATGGACTTTGGTTGAGCTTCAGCATATAAATCCCTAAAATTGATGCAAGGGTTTTCAGTATGACATTGATATGAATTATACTTGAGCGTGTGCATTATACTAAGACTATTAGTTATTTCTTCCGTAAAATCTATATCCAATTTACACAAGCTCAATTCGATGTGCACATGAACTAGGTATTTGATCCGGTGATTGAAAAAACGAAACTTGGAGTTATCACCCATGGCCCACAGAACTTTACGTTGAAAGTTTCCCAAATGATAGCTAGACACACCCGTTAACACTTCCCCTTTCCCGTTACCAGCAATAAGACGCTGTATGGCTTTGTGGAAAACCTGTTCGGTGATTGAAAATGGCTCACCAAACAAAAACATACAATAAGAACGTTTGGGGGCAAAAAGGTGTCCACATGTATGAAAATACTCTCACATGAATTCACGAAAAGTTTTTGAAAGCTGAATGTCATACACGGATAAACATTCACTTCAGATGTTTACATTTGATGTAATCAAACACCGCCTATTGACTACAGTGTGTATTTTGACTGGGAGCAGCATTAGATGCACCCGGGGAAGTAGTGTGTGTCCCAGCTATACAGCCAAGCGGAAATAAATTCCTGGTTGTCCAACATGGCGGATGTGTGGTTATTATCGAGCTTCCTGGTCACATCGGCTTGCTGGATACAGCTAATACTCGGCAAGTGTCACTTTATATTTCCTTATTTGATGTACAGTGTTCTTTATGTCCATCATTATCACGGCCTTGCCGTATTGTACAGCATAGTTCCCATATCTGTTTAACCCTCGGCAGTAACAACACTGATCACTGGTCATGGACCAGTTAATAGAATGTGTAAAGGATAGTACAATTGTATGAAACCGTGATGTATAGACTGAGTATATACACGCTGTATATATATATACACGTTATATATTCAATCCAATACCAACATGACATAACTGTTGTCATGCTTAAACGTTAGCAAATGTGGTCAAATGTAACTATGTTATATCTGGGAATACACTTTTTCTGTAAAGTACACATTCTTGTACTTTTTAGGGGGGATGAGTCCCCTCCGAGATTCAACCCGCACTCTCCGAGTCAGCACACAAAGTGAGCTTCCACTGGCTGAGTGAGTTAGATGGCTGGCTTTGTGTGCTATCGATTAGGTGCCTGACTCTGAGAAAATGAGTTGGAATCCCCTTCTTCCGTAGTATATGTGAATGAGTAATGCTGGCCATCGTATTACGGATTACCTGTCTCTTGAGGCTTGCACATGAACTTATCACTCGTTGGACATTCTCCGTTTTACCATTCATGTTTATCAAATGCCATTATATTTAAAGGTGGGTTCCGTAAGTTGAATGTCCAGTTATGAACTAAATGAATAGTGAGTCAGTCAGTAAGTCCACAAAAAAGGATATGTGTCAAAAGCACCTGTAAGATACGGACTACATCATGAGCAAGCGTTCATTAATGACTATCAAATAGTGATGGTACCAAGTGTCCGCGAAACGGTCAGCGTATCCTCGTCTACCAAGGGCACCAGTCACATGCATGCAAAGTTTAATCAATGATTCACCTGGAAAACCTGTAAATATATGGCACAAGTTAAATAGGCAGTCGAAACAATTTCTTTTCTGATGCATCGAAATTCCAAATGTTCTCCACAATCTGCAATTTCAGTAAATAGGGCATACGTGAATGGACCTTTTGAAATGTCAGTTGTTGATGTATTGTTTTATTGTAAAGATATTATTTCTATGAATCATAGAATCTGTCCATACGTCAAGGACTGTTTACTAAGTATTAACATGTATGATCCGAAAGGAACATGCACACCAGGAAAGTTTGGTGAATCTTGCCTTTTCTCCTGCCACTGTGGAGACTCCTGTAACCAGCAGACTGGAGTTTGTGGAGGAGGCTGTGACTCCGGCTGGGTTGGAGGACGTGGAGGAACTGTCAGAAAGGTCTGTTGTTAATACCTTTACATTTTACTGAATTAACAACACTGTGAACTTCTTAAAGGATTAGAATATACACGCTTCATAATCACCTCTTTATTATTTGTAAAATAGCAGAATATCGCAGTGGCAATGAAACTATTGGTTTGAAAAATTATTACACGATAATATTTTCCTAAAACAGAAAATGTTGCCTACAGAAGACACGCCTCCTCCCCTACTCGGCTGTATAATAATTCATGGTCTGCGGACAAAGCTGTAGATGGGAACAGGGACCAGGATGTGCACCACGGCTCCTGTTTCAATGCAGCTGACAAAGCATGGGGTTTGTGGACCGTGGACCTTGGAAAGCAGTACAGGATACATGATGTCAAGATATATCAGCCATCGCACCGTAATGATTTGACTAACTGACATTGACTACAAGTAATTTTGAAATATTCACTTTATATATTTCTCTCGTTATGGCAAAATAGGTTACAACTGATGTGTATCGAAATAGTTAAATACGCATAATACCTGAAGTAATCATTTACACGATTCTCATTCATTCTTATTTCATCTTATCTACTGTTTCTACGAAAAGTCAAAACGGGAGACAAAGGACACGTTTCGTTTCTCTCTAAAACTTCACTGGTTTCTTGTCTGTAATGTAGCAATACAGATAAAAGCTGTACATGAGTTTACTGAAAATCTATTTTAGAACTGGTTTCTTTTGTTTAATGAACCGTAACAGATGCCATAATTTATTGCGATGCGTTTACGATTGTATAATTATTGACTGCTCGGATGTACTTCTGAAAAAAAATCTATTTTAGAACCAGGAAGAATCCGGTCTTGTGTGCTCTACTTGAGTAACACAAGCTCCTCAACGGGCCTCCCTTGCTATGCTTTCCCATCCGACACCCCAGTCAGTAACGGCGGGATCTACAGTGCAACATGTGATGGCATTAGAAGATATTTCTCGATATCAAACACCACATTCCTCAATCTCTGTGAGGTCGATATATGGTAGGAGTCTATTAAATTTGAATTAGGTTCATATGTTTCAAAGCCCCAGGAAATCAACAAATGATCGATTTTGAAATAATTCATGAATTTAAGGCTGTAATCTTTAAGGTGAGTCAATATCTTTCCTGTGCCTCCAGAGATCGATACAAGTTCAGTAATTAATTAGGTGTTGAAACGATCGGCAGATGTATGTGAAGATATCGACAAAGGACTGGTAGTGTAAAACTGTCAACGATAGTATTCTTGCTTACAAGGCACAAATATGCTTTTGCCATAATCGACGAATATCAGACATGGGCATTTTAAACAAATGTGTAATGCAATTCTACATTATTTTTGTGCATCCGCATCGATATCTTCTATTTTCAGTTTGCAGCCATGGGTTGTTTGGTGTAACATGTAATGAATTTTGTCACTGCGCTGAAGAGCCGTGTGACCACGTAAGTGGTTTGTGTCTTGGAGACTGTAGACCTGGGTGGCAGGGAGACAGGTGTGATACAGGTGAGGAAATGGTGTAAGAGAGGCTCATATGAGATAAGTGAGGAGATTCAGTCAGTGGTGTGTCCTGGAGACTGCAGACCAGGTTGGCGGGGCAACAGGTGTGATACAGGTGAGGAGATTCAGTCAGTGGTGTGTGTCCTGGAGACTGTAGACCAGGTTGGCATGAAGACAGGTGTGATACAGATAAGGTGATCCAGTCAGTGGTGTGTGGCCTTGAAACTGTAGACCAGGGTGGCGGGGCAACAGGTGTAATACAGGTGAGGCGTAATACATTGTGTAAGAGAAAGTGGTATTAGACAGGTGAGGAGATTCAGTCAGTGAATCATGTAGACTGTAGACCAGGAAATGGACAGGATGGCAAATGAGTCTGTGATAAATATACTTTATCGTCCAAAAGACAAAAGGATTGGACACAAGTGCACCACTTTTTGTGTGTCTTTCGGCATCGAAATTAATCAAAACCTGAGAAAAGTGACTTCCTGAGGTCATTACATAAAGTGCATTCAAAAAAGAAATGTATTGAATTTTCGCATGGCGCGCCTAATTCGCATTCATTTACATCAGATAGGTTAACCCGAAACAGGTGGAAATTTAGTGTGCTGCAACTGTGTCTCAATCTAGTGTTCAATACGTTTCTGTATCTTTAACCGCAATTATACATCGGTGGAAATGCGGACTGCTCCGATACGACAGTTTTAAAAGAAGATATCGACGGACTATTCCTTACGTTTGACGGTAGAGTATTCCAGTGGCATAATGTATCTATAACATATGATCTTTTATTCGTAGATGTCCGTGCAAATAGTACAACAAAATTATGACAATGATACAGGTGAAGAGAATATGTCCCAAACGAATGAATTCTGACCGTTACACTAAATTTCATGAACCAATGAGGATATTGATGTAATAATGTAATGACTAAATAAAAATGAAATCCTGTTTATTCCAAGATCGTGTTATTTTCAATAACTGCTCTAAACCGCTGACCAAGTCATAATGACAATATTCAAGCAACATGGCGTTACTACAAATTTGACTTCAGACCACCCTGATAACAAACATTGATATGCGTTTTCCTTGTAGAATGTGACGCAAATCACTATGGAGTCAACTGTGTGAACACGTGTACTGACAGGAAGTGTTCTAATGTCAACTCGTCATGTGATCGCCACAGTGGGTCATGTGACATGGGATGTCTTCCTGGTTGGATAGGTTCGGACTGTTCACAAGGTACATGCTGGCATGTAATTCCTCACATAATTTCAGTGGGTTTTAGATCAAATTATTACTTTTCAGTTATCTGTTATCAGAACTGTGTTATGGCTAACTATTACATTTTGCCTTGGATCCCTAAAACTGTTAGAACAAATAAAAAAGGAGATTCAACCTTTAGCTTAAAACCATAAAATGACAATGGGCTTTTTGCAATATGTTCACGACATTGCGATTTCTCCATAGAGTGTACAAATGGACGCTATGGACAGAACTGCATCGACGCTTGTTCTGACAGGAAGTGTGCAGGAAACTCGCCGTGTGATCACATAAGAGGGGCCTGTGTGTCTGGCTGTGCACCAGGGTGGATGGGTGAAGACTGCAGAGGAGGTGAACATATTTATAGACATCTCTCTTTACTTTTGACAGACAAACTTCAACATTATTTTCAAGCTTTAAAATATATGATCGTACGATCACACAAAACCTAGCTTTATCATACATCATCATGATGTAGTCTGCACACAAACCAGGATTGAATAGGGATTAGAATATATACTCAACATGTATTATAATCCATGTAGTAATTATTTATATATGCAGCAACATTTGAAAGGTGAGTCATTAATTGTCAGTAGAGTAATTCCTTTTAGTTTCTTGTTGTGCCACAGGCGGCAATGACACTTGTTTGAACATGGTCTATAAAATAGCGTGTCATTTTATATTTCTGTCAAGTCTAATAGGAAATAAGCTTGCTCATACATGAAAACGATTAGAATACGTAGCTCAAATGGCATCCTATTATTGCATGAAATACTTTTCTGTGTGTAACAGTGTTCATTAAATACGAGCCATACACTGTAATATATGCTCATGCCATTGTGATTTCTCCACAGTGTGCTCAAACGGCAGCTATGGACAGAAGTGTAGCAACTTAAATGTCTAACAACGTATTACCCAGCAATAACGTTAACTGAAAATAACATCAAGTGATGTAACATCTGTCTATATGCTAAAAAAGTAGCAATTAATTAAACATTTCTACGGAGGAAATTGCAATACATTGAATGATATATCTATAGTGTGATCATAATGACGGACAAAAACAAGACGAAATGACGAAGAGCTAAAATGGAGAGCATTCTTTGTACTTGTTTCCGACAGGATACGATCACATGTAAGATATGAAGATACACGTCATTTGCGTCATGTTTCATACGTTAGCTGCAAGACATTTGACAGTTTATACGGTAATGTTCCAGTCTGTGACAGCCAACATTACGGAGCTAACTGTGACAAAGCCTGTGCCTCCAGACACTGTATAGGGAGCTCTTCCTGTAACTCAACTGGAGACTGTGACAGTGGATGTGAGTCTGGGTGGACACTGAACGACTGTACAGGTAAAGCTGGTAGGTCGTTAGTGGAGTGAGATGATGAGGTGCGATGTCACTTTCAAAAATATTTCAAATCCACGATCACGGCCGTCTGGCACAACTAAGGATCACCACTCTGCGCAGAGTTATGATAGCAGGCTAAATTGTCTCATATTAGCACAAGAACTCACACGCATCAGGGACCTGTCATAGTCAAAACTGTTTTGCGTCCCTAAGAATAACCTGAAGAATTTAAGAAATTAAATACTATCAACCGTAAGGATATGTTGAAAAGATTATCGGTGACTTTGCTATGAAATTAGAACACAGAGGTTGACCGCTTTAATAGAAATTTCAGCCACAAATACAACTTGTTTACTTTCCCTTTATGCATTCAGAAGAGGCAAGGGTTCTACAAGCCGCCTATAACGCAGTTCATCTGGCTGTTGCTGTGGCAGCTGCATTCGTAGTTGGTGTTGTCGTAGGTGCAGTCGTCTGTTTTGTTTTCTGGTGGAGACGGAATAGGTAAATGCGCGACTATGTCACAAAGTCTTAAAGAACAAAAGAAATATTTCAAAAGTCAGTTTAATGGAGAAATATACGTCTTAAATCTAGAGACAGAAAATAATGTGGCTTTGTACCTCCTGTCCTAAAGCTCTGAATGCCCTTACATTCCAGACGACCACAGAAGACATCGGAATCACCCCCAACCAATGCATCGGACGCTCGAAATGACCAATCACAGAACAGTGATGATGTTGGCCCTGAAACTAGGATATATGACAGTCTCCATGCTGAATCTCCACATGACGCCAAAATCACAGGAGAGACATATTGCACCATTAAGTCTGGCAACACAGATTCAAAAGCCCATGCCCCAACATCACGTAATTTGTCCGAATCTGCCGGAGCACAAATGTATGAAAACATTGACAACACATCTCGAAAAATGGATGGTGCATACAGTGAGTAAGGAAAACATAATTGACTTCATGTGACACGCTTAAGGTTTCGTATTATGGTTTATATTTGTATTTTAATATACCCGTTTACTTGGGGGTGTCAAGGAGGATTTTACATATTAACCAAATTTTATCGTGTATAACTTTCTTGATTTGTTTTACCGGTTTCAATTCATGACTTCACATTAGTCTGAGAATGTGGGTTTGTCCCCTTAAATTATACTATGCTGTAGCCAAATGTCCCTTAAATAGTTCAACAATTATAACCATGTATTAAAACTTTCATTTTCATTTTTGTTGTAAATTTATGTCATAGCTTGCGTTGTCCTTATACGTTTATCGTAAATTTGGTTATGCACACATGAAATCTGTGTATCAATTGTGACCGTTGCTGATCACTGGTCATGCTTTCAGATGAGTCCCGATTTTGTTTGCATTTCCTTTATAGGCGCGAATCTCAATCCATCCTGAGACCCCATGACAGATTTATCAGGGGATGGGCGATGTTGTGGAGATTGATGACCACGATTCATGAACCCCATCCCTGTTGTTGGGTGGGATCACTATGACTTGCCAAACCCCGTTCTACTTTGTGGGAAGGAATCATTACGGCGGCCTGGGATTCATACTGGCACTCTTTGCTGACCCGCTCTCAGTGCTCAACGTGCACGATGCACGATGGCTACTGAGAATAGCTATAATTAAATATAGTCATTTTATTTTGGGGTAAAAGATACATTTGGGACAGCTTGGGTTTATGTGCACAAGCGATAAATGGTTTGTTGCTTTCTATTCACCATCATAAACGAGTTATGTTCAGTTTGAAGAGGAGAAGCATGATTGACACATTAACATAGAACGTTTATAACTTGGTATTCCCGGTCTGTCAAAAGAACTGTGGTCATTTACATGTCTGTTAGAGTTTGTATGTATATCCATCTGCTTAATTTCTGTTACCGAATGACACTATCGGATCTGAATAGAAATGACTTCGGAGAATAAAGTAATTGTCTTTTTATGCACATGTAATAAACATGTCATCCACAGTCCTTACCGTTACAAAGTTATACATTTAAGATATGATGCATTTGGAAAATTGATAATATAGGCATGATTCGAAAACAGGTTGTTTGCTTTGATTAACAGCTTCCGTGAACTTTCATGTCAATTTGTGTTCCTTGGTTCTCTGGAGGTGTGTTGGTAGTGTAGGTAAATATATCAGCATGACCTCCAAAACTATTCTTACGTGCAGCAATGATCTGTAATGTCAGGTTTGTTTAGTTCGCTGTTTAACTCCGCACTCAATAATATTCCAGCTATGTGGTTTGATTAATATCATCATATCTATCTGTTTTGAAATTTGTTCTGTTGACATTAAAGTAATTATGCTGCCATAATGTGTTTTTGTTGTTGCTGCTGGTGTTGTTATTGTGAAAGTCAGTACCGAAAAGTAGAGAGCTACGAACAGAAACAAACACAGTGTTAATCCTTCATAATTTCCAGCTCGTATCAGACATGTTTGCCAACCCGAGCAGAATTTCTGTTTCAGCTTAGATATCGATACATAACTATGGATACACACATATTACACTGATCGGATTTAAGTTCAATTTTCGGCCATCTTCGCCTGATGTTAAAAGATAAATTCTTTTATCTCTAATCATTTTGCATGTGATCACGTATGTTTATATAACATCAACAAATGCAAGTACATGCGAAATGTTACGAAATCACAATATTTGATAATAATATTAGTTTATATAGATACATTTTCAATCGCATCAGGCATATTTTGTATAGTATATTGTGAGTGTACTATGTTTATTTAACGCTGCAGGAAGTTTCATGTATAACGGGCGTATCCGACTGTGATTTATCACAAGCTAGATTATCCAATGGATATGCTAGTTGCAGTATTTTCCCGTGTTATTACTGTAAATTTCACGATGCAAAACGTTTTCAGAGATTTCCCTTCCTTTTATATCTTTATCAATGTCTGCAATTCCAAGCTGATCCTGTAACTTATTAACTTGAAGTAGTCTTTCTGCTAGTATACGGTGTCCACTTAATTCCTAACGCTTCAAACCGTTGTAGATGATTTCCATCAACTTAAAACTCATGTTGTTGCGGGCCTTTTACTCTTGAAATGTTTAATTCAAGGATTAATGTTTGTGTATCAAAGAAGATTTCGTGTCCAAACCACACCGCACGACAAGAACAATATGCAAACCACTTACATTTATGTTTGATGCTTTTCGCTGATGATTGTCCAGTTGACAGTTGTTGAATCTTTGTACACTGCTGCTTCTTCAAAAAGTACTGAACATACCATAACTACAACTTGAATATCATTTCGGGACAAATTCATGACCACGGTGTCAGGGTTATAGATGTACACATGTCCGCGTGCACGCACGCACGCACACACGCACGCACACACGCACGCACACACACACTTCATACAGTTGGAGTCATTGACAAGTACCCGTGAAGGTCCGGGTTAGAATCGATCTTCAGTAACCCATGCTTGTCGTAAGAGACGACTAACGGGATCGGGTGGTCAGGCTCGCTGGCTTGGTTGACACATGTCATCGGATCCCAGTTGCGCAGATCGATGCTCATGCTGTTGATCATTGGATTCTCTGGTCCAGATTCGATTTATTACAGACCGCCGAGGTATACAGCTGGAATATTGCTGACTGTCGCGTTAAAGTAAACTCACTCACTGACAGGTTGTTTTAGTTTCTTAGCAGTCAAAACGTCACAGCCTTATGGATATTCGACCAGCCACACAAGTTAATCTATCTTAATGTAACTCAAACTCTCCCCCAAAAATAGGATACACCATTGTACTTTGTACCTTGACATACGTGTACACATCGTACGCAGGTTTCCAATGATTAAGGCGGTCACATATATACAGTATATTTCAATGACGATGATTGCATGTTGAGGGGCCGACAGTTTGGCAATTTGACGGAACTCAGAACTAAATACATTAGCGCTGAGAAAGCTGAAGTAAGTATTTTGACCTAGGGATAGAAACTTGATCTACCTCATCTGCCGGATACTCGAAAAAAATAAGGTGAAGATAGTTGGCGTTGGAGAAATGAATTGACTGTCTCGGAGTGGTGTCTAAAACTAATGAAAATAGTCAGTGTGTCTTGAAGAGATGTCTGAAGCAATTCTATACAAAATGACAGGTTATACACAAATAACCACGTAGCTGTCATGACACGAAAACCGCCACGAACATCTCAATGATGTGAGTTAAACCTGGAACAGACAACCCATGGCCACGAATTGGTTGACAGAATTCTTCGGAGTCCCTAAACACTCACAATGAACTGATACTATCTTTCATAACGACTCTCAAGGTGCAATGAAAAACAACAACTACTCAAAAGATATCATGATTAGCCATAGTTTATTTGTGCATAGAATATATCTAGAACGTGAATCATTACGAAATATAGTTAATGTTAGATGAAAAATCTTTTCATAAATGTTCTTGTTATGTATGGCTTGTTATTGTTTGTTTACGTTTGCAGTCAACAAAGATACGCATGCATTTGTTGATAAGAGTGTTTTACAGGTCCTGTTCTTTTACTGGAATACTGTTGGGTTTGAACTCCCTATTGCTGATGTCAACGGCTATAGCTCAGAATGAAGATGCAGAATACGTTGAATTAGATTTTTTAGTCCTTTAGTGGATAATAGACGTAACGCGTGTGTGTGTATGTGTGTGTGCGGGCGCGTGTGTTTTTAGATAGAAAGAAAATAGTGAGGGAGAGACGGAGATGAAAACAGATGAGTGTAATGTAGATGTATATATAAATTGACAGACGAATCCGTTGGTATATGACCAGATGGTGGCCACATGAATACGTGCAAACACCTTGTTGCGGGTACAGCACGTGCAAATAAACTTGGACAAAGTACTGTGACTATGTGTCCGAGTCCACCCAGCTGTGAATGGGTACCTCGTAAGGATGGGAAAGCCACACTAACTCAGTGCGCCTGGCACTGAGTGGCTGCAAGAGTTGTATGATCCACAGGGAGTTGCGGTTGATAATACGACGTGTCGTTGAGATTGACTTCCAGTGATCGAGGGAACATCAAAGCGCCCTTGAGCAGCTGAGCTGGATATCGGCATTATACAAATGTTAGCATAATAATAATAGCGTTCCCCTGGGCAGGGTACACTTTTTAGTGGAACGACAGACAAGGTCAATTAAGGCTATGAATGTCAAAATGTGAATTGCTATGTTGAACAATGGCACAACTCATGACTGTTATGCATGGATTACAACATGTGAAGTAGTGGTTGTTTTCGTAAACGATGATGTGTACCAAACCCTGTATAAAAGTGAAATAGTCAAGGAGACATAATTAATATAATATACTAGGTTTTCAAAACAGTGCAGTATCAATTCTTAAATGTGACAAGATAAAGTGAAGATACAAAGAAACGAAAATAAGTAAATACAGTTTTGTCGGCACTCACTTGAAGAATGTTACTACATGTTGGTTTCTTAAAAGCCAGGCTATATACAGGCGCTTAGAGACTCAGTGAGGTGATGTTTCCGGTTGATACAATTGCAAATATCTTATTGCAGTTATCAATTTGAAACTAACAACATTCAATCCATTTTGCAGCAAGGCCAATATTAATCAATGTTTCTGTACATCTGTGAATAAGTATAATAAGTATCATCTTTGGATTAAGACACACATTAATTAAATACGTAACTGGTATATTGTCCAAGTTATGTGAACATCTTTCCTGTATCATACATCTGACCTTGGCAGATACAATTGTTCATTGAGCAATAACTCAGATCTGAGTACATATTTGGATATGAGTCCACGTGTACAGCCTGTGGTGCTTTACAACAGAAGGCGTCAGAAGTTGGCGTATACTCCATGTGTCCCAGTCCTCTGTCGAGTGAACTCCAGACACAGTCTCACGTCACTCTGAAAAGAAGGAGATGAAATCAGCAAATACTTTCCTTGTTTGTTAGAAGACGACAAAGTAAAACAAGCCTGCAACATATTGTTGAACAGATGCAACCTAATTTCTCCTGAATACCATTGAAATCGTCAGTATATTTGATAATTGAATCTGTTCAATCTGTTTAAAAACTAACAAAACTAAATTGAATATAGTTGATGCTCAAGGGGAACATAATTGCAACTGGTGTATAACTGTCCACGATAATACGACACACGTGTGTGTCTCAGTTTACCTCTGTGAATGGCGGACCTCCAAGACGTGTAGAGATGTCGCATGTTGTTAATGACGTCCACTCTACCATCGTCTTTGCAGTCTGCTGGCGATGTTTAGCAGAAGCACAAGGAAACGAAACTCCTCCACAGACCTGCGATCAAAATGGAATTCAAATTACTGCAGTTCACTTCACAATCTATTGCAGTGAATCTTTACTATGTGGCATGAACAGACACAGCAATTGTTTTCTCCCTTCAGTCAAGCTGACGTTGATATATCAACAGAAAGGCAATGTATGGACAAGGTGCTCTGCTGTCTGTTGTTTGACGCCGTACTCCAGTAATATTCCAGCACGATGGCGGTGCTTTGCCTACCAACCTACTTTGGTACACATAGAATCTCCACATCTTTAGATAATTAACACCGACATTTATATGGATGTACGTACTCTGTGACAACGGTGCACAATCCTCGTTTGGGATCCTTTGTCCACGTGAGGAAGTTGTCAGTCAGCAAGTTGAAACTGGGGTTCCTTGCCCTCCCCGTGATGTGGTAATGTTGAATGACAGTGGTGTCATCGTTATCCTATAACATTGAATGGTTACATGTTTCAGCCTGTTCACCTTTCTGGTACTTAATGTGTTTCTGTTCATGTTCGCGAGGAAGTGAATGTTTTCAACACTGTAGTCATTCCCCATGGTATGTGATAAGTGTGGACAGTAATACCAAACATGGGCAGCCTATTTGGTCAATTGTTAGCTCGTAAAGCCGAGGGTCCATGTTAGATTCCCCTGGGTTCTCGGTAGAAACGATTTACACATATAAGTCGAGTCACGACATTGTAACTCATGTGTTGATGTACACACAATAAATGAGTATTTATGAGATTAATATGAACTTGCAACCTTTAGTTTCAGCTCCATTGTGTTTAGAAGGATATCATCGGACAGCGCTGTAGACTTGGACATGCTCACTTCAAACCTGGAGGTGGCAACAGAAGCATCTACTGACGGGGAGATAATCCTGGAAGGAATATTTAATTTAGCTGAATAACAAATAGATCATGAACCCTATATCATGTCAATATCAACCGGAAATTTATACCCTCGTAATTACAACGTTCAAGTACGGACGTGGGACATAATTATTAAACCAAACCACTCCGTAAAAGATAGTAGAAATACAGTTTATTGTAAAAATGTATGTGTGTGTGTTTGTTGTTTAACTCTGTATGTAACAATATTCAAACTGTGTGACGACAGTATTTTATCAATCGAGTCTGACCCAGACAGTGATTGATAGCATGAGCATCGATCTATGCAATCGGATACAATAACACGCGTAAACCAAATCAGAGAGCCTGGCCACCTCTTACTGCATGCATGGGTTGTACATTCTTATCCAGTACTTTCAATTTAGATGTCAAACGTGCTCCATAATTATATTTAAAATTGCAGGTGGCAAAATCATCAAATAACATCAGAATCCCGTGTTTATAATTGTTTATACTAGAAACAACTGAAGACAAAAAATGACCTCTGTACATTTACATGACGAAATAGTCCTTGAGAAAGAACACACAGTTCAAATGGGCCTACCTACCAGTATAATTTTGTTCGCACTAAGAAAATGGGCCCATGTTATCATCTATACAATACCTTTCTCCTGATATCAGGTCATGCAAACATATATACTTACCAGAACATCTGCAGCATAGGTTATCAAAGTGTGCGAGTCACTGTTGTAAACCTGGTTCCACATCTCCTCTTTATCCGGAGGTGACGACACAATGAAGAATCCATTTAGAGATGCGTACGACTACGAAACAGAAACGAACATTAAAAAGAAAAAATGTAATTTTTAAGTAAAATTGATATTTTATACTTATCCTGACTCATGATCTTTGCTTATCTCCCCTTTCCCTTTCGAATGGCAGTGGAACACTTGAATCCCTTGAAGTTCCCGAAGCGGACGTACAATACTCACCAACGAGTTACCTGCCTTCCTCTCTCCCGCGCAAACGTACCATGTGACGTGCCCAGACTTGTCACTCTCTCCTTATATTTCGCCCATGCACTTGGATCTGCTGTGTAATCACAAGTGTCTTCAACGGGAGGTTGGGAGGGTTTGTTCGTCATGAGTCAGGATAAGCATAAAATATCAATTTTACTTAAACACTTACATATTTTTCCTTATCCTGACTCATGATCTTTTGCTTATAGAATCCGTCGGAATAGGTGGGTCAAGCCACTGGATTCAACAACTGTCCTTAGATACGTCCTGTATCCTCTTTTCTTCAAACACATTTTGATACGGTCCACACGTGTAACTGGAACACTGTTGGGTTTCCGTGGACTTGCTTGGTGTGCAGATGTATCAGTAAGTTAGTTCGCCAATCTGGTAGCGTGATTACTGGGTTTCCTACGTTTTCTAGTAGATCTGGGAGCCATACTCTCGCTGGCCAATAGGGCGCAACCAAAGTCAGTTGTAGATTCTAAGTCTGTTTGATCTTGACCAATACTTTTGGCAGAAGTATCAGGGTGGAAAAGCGTAGCCGTTTAGTCCTTCCCACGACATGCTCAGTGCATCTGTTGCCCAGGCTTGAGGATCTGGAACTGGTGAGACAAACGTCTGCATTTGTTTGTTGAACCTCGTGGCAAACAGGAGTCTATGGAAGGGAATCTTATTTCCCTTATGTTCCGAAACGCTTCTGGATCGAGCATCCATTCCGTAGGTGACGGGTGTAGTGGTCTTGAGAGAGCGTCTACCAGTACGTTCTTGGCTCCGGGTATGTGACACGCCTTTATCCAGATGTCTGCTTTCTGCGTAATCTGGAACAACTGGAATGTGAGCTGCAACAGGCTTGGCGATCTTGTGGATCCTTGCCGATTTATGGAGAACGCCACTGAGGAGTTGTCTGTGTGGATCATCAACATTTTGTTGTTCAGCGAGCTCGACCATAGTTGTAAGGCGTTGATCACTGCTTTCATCTCTAGTAGATTGATGTGGAGCTTTTGTTCTGTTTGGGACCACTTCTCCGAGGCCACTTGATCGTTTAGATGCGCCCCCCACCCCCCCCCCCATCCTTGCATCGAGGCATCTGCGTAGAGGTGTGTGTCAAAGGCCAGCTCTTGTAAATGGAAATCTTCTGTAAATAGGGTCGACGCTGTCTAGATGCTTTATGAGGACCCGTTGTAGTGGTCTTAGCTGTAACCTTCCTGTGTGCATCAGGTCCTGCGCCGAGGTTAGTAGACTGAGTAGAACTTGCCATGATTGTAGTGTTAATGGAGAGGTGACTGCTGGAGGAATCATGGCTTGTATCTTGACCCAGCGATCCTCTGGGATGACCATCCGATTCTCTGTAGTGATGAATCTTATCCCCAGGAATTGTAGATTGTTTTGGTTCCAATTCTGACTTCCTTAGGCTCACCAACCATCCCTAGTTGAGTGAGCATCTTGATCGTGAAGTTCAGTTGTGTAGTCTGAGTAGACTTGCATCTTGGTGGACCTGACTTCTGTCATCCAAGTAGAAGGCATTGCGTAGACCTCGATGATGAAGGTATGCGACTATAGGCTTGGTTATTCGTGTGAAAAGCCACGGGGCCGAAGATATTCCAAACAGTAGGACGTTCCATTGGTAGTGCTGCCATCTGAACAGGAATCGTAGATACTTTCTTGATTTTTGATGTATCGGGATATGCAGGTAAGCATCCTGCAAGTCTATGCTGGCCATGTAATCTGCTGGACGGACGAGTTGTTTCAGTTGAGGTAGGTGGATCATGCTGAACCTCTCTGGTTTCAGTAAGTAGTCTCTGTTGAATTTACGCATGTTGCATATCAGTCTGAACTTCTCCAAGGAGTTCTTCTTTGGTACTAGAAAAATTGGGGAATAGAAGCCTGGGGTGAGATGATTCCGATCTATTATCTCTACCGCATCTTTCGAGAGTAGTGCATTGATGGCTTCTTGTAGTCTGTCGGCCTGTTCCTCTGCATACTTGAAGACCATCGGGCTGAGGGTTAGCGGAGGAGTGGCTTTCAGTTGTACTTTGTATCCTTCTCTTAGTACCCGAGGAGGCGTAGTTGTCTTCTAGAATTCCCCAATTCTTCCAGTACCCTTGTAGACGTCCACCCACTGTCGATAGTTTTACAGGAACGGCTGGGGTGGAAGACTCCAGTCGTTCGAACTCTGGCATCAACGTCTAGTACCTCTGGAAGCTCTGGGGCCGTGGCCTCTTCCTGAGTTTCCTCTGTAGTTGCCGAAGGGTGACGTAAAGAGTCCTTCCGTCTCTGGAGTTGGAGTACTTCTTGTCCTTAGCTGTCTGTATTCCGGAATACCTGTACTCGTTGTTATATCTCTGGGACGTATGGCAGATGACGTTGGCCAGGGTATCTATGGTTTTAATCATCATCACCTCTCTGGAGTCTTGTGTGGCTTGTTTGGCTGCATCATCCAAGAAACCTCCAAAGATGGTAGGCGCCTCCCACGGAGCTCGTAGTAGTGGCTGCGTAAATGTATCATTCCAGGAGCAGGATGCCAGTAGACCCTGCTGTCTGCATATTAATGTGAGCCCGCCGAGATTGATGTGAGGTGGTCCGACAGGAAAGAACTGATCCTTCTTTGTGTGTGACGAGGGCCGAGTAGATCATCTTATCCTCTTCCGTCGTGGAATCTTGGAATTTCTTTATCAATGCTTCATTGATGGCTCTAGATCTTGCCAGTCTGAAGAAGGATCTTCTAGAAGCTGTATCCAGTTGTGATAGCTTCTTGTCATCCACTTTATACACCTTACTCCCTCACTCGTTCACCAGCTTGATGTTGTCATCCCACTCCGGCGCCTTCACAAATGGTTCCATGTGGTGTAGGGGGAATTATTAAAAGATGGTAGTTGCTGCATCTGGTACTTGGAAGCCTTCGCGAAGGCTGTGCGAAGGTTGTCCGGTACGTTGGATATAGGCTCGATCGGTGGGATTGTGACGGAGTCGAAGTCATCATCCTTCATCATGTAGGTGTAAACTTCGTTCCTATCTTTAGAAGGAGACTCCAAGCTCAACCTGCTAGCAATCAATGCCGTTACTTCTGAGTCTGAGAAGACGGGGTTCGTAGTGTCCTGAGTCAACGAGCTGTGTCTTGTTGAAGTAATACAGTATATCTCTGTGCGAACCTGTATCCCTTCGCGAACCTTCATCCTGGGTTCGCGAACCTGCAGCTGAAGATTCCTCCCTGTGCGAGCGTCTTTCCTGGGAGCATTCTCTTAGCGAACGTCTCCTCTTCGCGAACGTCTGCGTTGAGGCGATCTTGAACTAGAGCGGCTAGATGTAGAGGCAGGAACCTTGGAACCTTGGAACCCCATAGTTTCGCGAACTTGGACAGCGTATCATCTGGACTATCTTGTAGTATGACGAAGGTGTACGTAGCTCTGATGGGAGTAGATTTGCGCAGGCCTGGGGGGTTGCGAACGGTGTTGGCAGACGGGAGGCTCTTCCTAGTATTCGATTTTTCCTGGAATCTCTGCACCACCATGGCCATCATCTTGTTGGTGAACTGCGTCATGAATTCTCCAGGGTCGAAGTTCTGCATCTGTTGACGCTGCTGCGATGTTGTTTTCTGTGCCTCAACTTCTCTCCTCGAAGTAAAGGTCTTATGTCGGATAGCTGGCCTGCTGCGTCGTTGATGTTATCGATACTTCGGGTAGAAGTATAGGGGGGTCGTCAAAAACGTCTTTCTCGTGAGGCAGCACAATCTCTTCATTGAATGATTTCTGGTGTAGGTTTGCCCTCAGTTCTGGTACCCGTAGCCTTTTTCTGCGTAGTAGAAGAGGACGCTGTCTTTTTCTTAGACTGGGACGGCGTAAGCTGTGAGGTAGACGACCTTTTCTTTGCCCCCTTTGCCGCAGACTGGCCCTGTAACGTACTAAGCATCACATCACTATTATGAACATCAACAGCAAGTTACATACGGTTTGTAGGCTGATCTGCAGATTTATCACATGTGACTAGAGATGCCTTTTTCACCCAATCCATGGCACGTCTATAAACATAAGAAAAATATTGATTAAATTGTAGATTGGTTAAATCAATGCAATAAATACAACGCAAGTTGGATGAACATGAATCTGTACACGAAGGACACTGGGGGTGAGGATCAGCCACGGACAACCTGTGCCCACACACACAGCAGGATTTCATGAATTGTAAACAAGTTTACAACACGATGAAATCACGACTCAAAGTCAATATTTTTTTACAAATACTACATAATGATTATAGCCAAATCCATACACAGCTTAATTTAGAAGAATAGGCCTAAATATCAACGATAAATTGCCGTATACGGGACTCCAGTGCTCGCCCAACCATCCGCTTTGGCGAAAAGGGAGAGATTGACAAGTCGGGGCACGTCACATGGAACATTTGCGCGGGAAAGAGGAAGGGAGGTAACTCGTGGGTGAGTATTGTACGTCCGCTTCGGGAACTTCAAGGGATTCAAGTGTTCCACTACCATTCGAAAGGGAAAGGGAGATAAGCAAAATTAAGGATAAGGACAAATTATCAATATCATTGGTCCCATTTTACTACACAACATGTCTAATTGTGGTACTGGCTTATAATGGTCGTCCATTTTCATAAAGAGCGCTGAAAAATACAAATGGTTTATGTTTATGGAGTTTCCTGCATGATTGTATTCATCTTAGTCTGTAAATCACGGGGTAGAATGAAAGGTGTTAAGGCATATAAAGCTATTTGGCGGGAGTGATATATCGATAATGTATTTTGGAAAATAGATATTATTTCACTACAAAATGCATGACATATAATAAAATGAATGTGGTGGTGTGTGCTTCCTACTTACAGGCACGCTTGTGATCTTTGCTCCCTTGGGAGGCCCTGAAAGGTAATTTAACTTATATTGCCAATTCCAACTCCAAAACTATTCTCGAAAGTAGAATTTATACATGTATCTGGGTATGATATGCAGACCTAAATCATGTTTAACCAGTTATAATACACCTTTATTAGTTTAGCTTAATCTCTCATGAAATACATATTGCCACTATAACAATTCTGATAATACTGTACTCACCTCCACCGCTGCGTTTTAAAATCTTAAATGAAGAAGATAATCTCGTTAAGTACTGCATTTTGTGTAGATTCTGCACGTTTAATCATTTCATAGACACCTATAGGTTACATATGACTATAGTCAATTCTGAAGTCAACTAGTGTGAAAATTATCTGGAAACATGCAGTGCATATATACCGTCACTTGTCAGTGAACATTTGCTTTGAACAAATGAACAGTCAACAACAATGACAGGTATACCGTCAATTATCAGTCAACAGTTTGTATCAACATTAACAGGTCGGACACATTTTGTGGCTGATTTCTGCTCCAATCTCAAAAGGATTTTTGTCAATAAGTATGCCTACCTCAAGATGTTGTTGTACTGTCTTGTTGCCCATAGTAACATCTAACACCTGACCAAGGTCAAGGTGTCTAATGGTGGTGGCACCAAGAGTTGTGTCCCCTTCTGACACTGCCCTTGCCAACGCCTGGTAGATGAACAGGTACTGCTCCTGGGTACAGAGGGTATTATGTTTAGAACTTATCCACAATGACAAATCAATATGCTATACCATTTGTATTAAGAACGATTGGTGAGCGACTGCTTTGTTTACAAGTACCTTTGTCTGTATCATGTTCTTCCTCTGCCCCCTCATGATGGAGACGAAGCTGACGACGTCCACAACGCCCTCTGCCTTTGCCTGCTCCACGAGGCTGTCGATGGTGATGTAGGTCCCTGTTCTCCCTATACCAGCACTAAACAGGAAGCGGATAAACAGTAACAAATGCAAGGACGCATTCTTCAAAACGTTGTATGATAGAGATGACATATCATTGGCGTTTGTTTCTCTGTGTATAGATCCATTTATTTGCATCATTGAGTTTACACAAACAAGGTCATTGTTATGATCATTTACACAGTGCCCCACACTACATTAGATATATGAGGTGGAAACAGTAAGTTAATTTGAAATCAGTCACTTTGCACATCACAAACAAAGGAATTGCAATGGTGGTACAAAATAGAGCGGCAGTACAGATATAGTAGCAATGTAACATAAAAGGACGCTTCCCAAATAGGCCTAGGCTTAGAATCCAGGGAGAAATATGATCACCATACCGCTGGTCTTCATGTAATGTTACTGAGGCAAGAGTGCGCCCCTTCTAATCATATAAACAGAAACCAGAACGTCTTCTAACTGAAATATGCTGAACAAATGTCCAGACCACGTTTAACTCCCAGTCTACATATCGTAACTAGCACATCACTGCATCTTAAGAGAAACAATGGTAACACACTTGCAACACTGTTTCACAATGAATATCAGTGTGTATCATAACAAAAGCTATAATTATACCAATATATAAAATCAACGAATTATATAGTTGATTGTGTAACAACTGATACCTTTTTCAAAATTTGCGCCTCAAAAGGCTATTGATTTAGTACTTATTGAGAAACAAACCTGCAGTGGACTATGATCGGCTGAGTTTGTTGTCCAGATATGACCTTGACCCTCCACATGAAGTCCAGCAGGGCAGCAGTGTCCGGCACGCCATGGTCTGGCCAACTAGTGAAGTGGAGGTGGTTGACATCCCGTTTCTTGCCTTCCTGTCGTCATAAATGATTATGCATCACTCAAGGGCAGATGCTGATAACACACTGTTGACAATGATAATGTATTCTTGAATACTCTATTCAAAATGTTAATATGCTCTGAAAGTGTTGTTAACAATATATTTTACTATTCCATTTAACATGTTAATGCTTTGGTATCCTCCGTTAAGGAAAGTGCACCGGTGAGTAATTAGTGTGTAAGGTATCACATTGTATTTATCTGATGTGCCGGTTAGATATAACAAACAATTTACCAATAGGTATCCCTTTTAGCACACCAATAATCTACCTTCTCATTCTGAACAGCCAGCTTGGTGATAGTGTAGTTTGCTAGTTGTGTTCGACCTGCCAGAGTTACTTTGATGTCACCAAATGTCACGCCATCCTTCTCTGGCCAGTACTGTAGACACTTCATCTGTAAGATAGAGAACATGTATGAACAGGGGAACACACAAACAAGCAAAGTCGCTTGAAGACTTGCCATAAAATATGAAAATATTGTTCTTTAAAGTCAGATACCTCACAAAACCAAGTTCATACCTTGCATGCTTCCACCAGTCCTGTTACCATGACAACAGTGTTGCATCCCTCCTGCCAGATCATCTTCCAGAAGTCCACTAGTACATCCGGTTTGTATGGGCCTGTGTGAAATATCAGTTGGTACTAGACAAATGAATAGTTATAACATAACACTTAGTGAGGTTGAAAGGAAGGTAATAACTAACTTCTATTCATCTACATTCTGGCATTTCAACTCATAAGTACGTCTTCTTGGCTGATAATCATTTGGCATTACCTTGTGCTGCTATGTAACGCTTCTCTGACTTGTAACCCTGGACGAAGACAGAGTGAAAACAAAACACACTGTTACTACAAACACTAATGTATTGTGCGAACAAGGGCAATTAGAATGAGTCTATGTAAGATGTTACTTGTTACATTCTTTAGCTGAAAAATTTAACCTAAGAAGAATGAAAAATCGGAAGCATGAGTGAGGATTTAACGCCCGTTTGAATAGAATTCCAGTTTTAGAAACGTTAGCATTACACAAAAGTGACCATCCTGTGAATTCATTTGAAAAAAATATTTCATGTTGTTGTGGCTATTTTTGGCTTTTTGAAAATGTGATAATGTTCTAACTCACATCCAAGTAGCTTGCGTTGATATAGTCTCCTCTATCATCATCATTAGCGTCATGCAATATCACCCGATTGTAGTCATCTGCCGAAAGCAGAAATATTGTACATAAATTCATATATGTTATTCGTATGTTAAATAATTATGAATACAATAATCACTTACACGGGTAATATCCTCTGAACCTGTTCTTCGCTTTGTTCTTCGACTTTTGAGATTCCTCGTAGGAATGCATGAAACCATCGGGTAGATGCTGGAAGGAAGAAAAGACATAGATACCAACATCATACAGATACTGTTCAACATGGTAATAAAGATGCTCAGGCTCAAGATGTTCACGATATTGTCTTCCTAAACTGACCTTGAACTCCTCTTCAGACACTTCAGGGTGATCTTCCATTTCTTCCACTCGCGTCGCAAATGAGGACACGGGGATAGCATGACATGGTCTGGCATCCTGCGGTGCGATCTGAGCATGGGCATCATAATCTTCTTCATCCTCCATGTTGGGCTGATCTTGACTGCCGCCTGAACGATCAACAAGTACATTGTCGCGTTTGTTCCCACTTTGTATTTTACGTATCTCTCCCTGATGACCAACTGGTGGCGGAGACCCTGAAGCCACATGTGCAGTAGTGGTCGGCGTCTTCTTGGATGACAAGGCTGGCTTCACTTCATCATCAAATCCAACATTCATGTATGTATTTCCTTCATCTGTGCCGAATGAGTAGTAAACATCAGTATTTGTTTGTATTAATTAGAACTGACTTCCCTTACATAAATGCAAAGCACCAACGCCCATGACCATTGATTTTGGAATATAAACTGGCATTCAAGAAATTGGGAATAAATAAGAAAACGTACAACAGTATTCATAACATGTGATGGTTTGTGGAACAGATAGACCAGAAGGGCGTGTTATCTATAAAGATGTACATTTGCTTAAAGTCTGGAATATCGACTGAATCAGATTCAATGAAGTTCATTAAACTAAACTGTGAGGAAAATAATATAAATTGATAACTGAAAATCAGTCATCTTGGCAGATGCTCTGCAAGCAAGGTGCTGGAACGTACCTGCTACAAAATGAAACACTATTAAACAAAACGTTTTGCCAAAATCATCTTTGTTAAGATTCTGATTGCATCACATACCTCGAAGGTTTTTCTTCTTTGGAGCGACATGTGGAGTTTCTTTCAGGACTGATTCGTCAGAAGACCTCTTTCCTCTCTGTCGTCTTCTGTTTAATGTAAAAGACATCATTTCTTTCAAATAAAACTGCATATATCATATACAAGTGGCGAATCAAATATGCAACAATTCAAAATATCAAAACATTAACTGACCTGATGAGCAGCACAATGAGGATGATCACCAGGGCCACCAGCACCACACCCACTGCAGCTCCTACTACAGCTGCGACAGGGACGGACTGGGCAGCTTCGGATCGATCTGTGCGACAACATGTGTGCATTGTTGATGTAATGTGTGTTTCTGTAAGCCAACATACGCCATCAAGTATGGTAATAGTGTCTTTGCTAGATATCTATTGTGCACATTCACATTGAAATAGTTTGCTGAGTACTGAGGTTTTGTCTGCAAGATGAAGGTGTAAATGTTTCTGATCATCTCTTTAACGCAAAATCTTCAGTGACATTGACATCTAGTTACTGAAATACACGTTTACTAAGTTTTTAAAACTCTCCAAGTAGGCCACAATGTTATACCATGCTTCCCCACAATTCACATTGTATGTGATGTATCTAACACGTGTGTAATTGAACCAACAGGTTACTTTGATAGACATGCCTTTATGTCTCTGATGCTGATCTTTACACTGGGGTCCCATGTATCCTTCAACACAGCCAGAGCTACAGTTGCCTGAACTAGCGTCACATGCGGTATTATCAGCGCATAGTCCACACTTGTCTTCACATTCGGCACCAAAAAAACCTGGACTGCACACTAGAGGATGAACAAACATTGGAGAAAAACTATTGAGATCTGTCGTTTAGATCTAATATGCAAATGAGCTAGCCCGTGCTAACATATGTCTTAAATCGTTGTTCCTTCAGAATGTTGGCCATCTCGAAAGTATTTTCTTATCAATTTTATGGTCTCATCACATGTACAGTCAGAAATCCATGGTTTAAATCTGAACAAGCCCTGGTAAACGTTTGTCAGATGATTGATCCCTATCAGTATTGACCACCATCGACAACTTTCAGTATTGCAGTATCTCATTTGATAAATAAATTGCATTTTGAACATACAGACATACGTTTTGTTTTGTTTTGCAAAAACGGAGAAGTAACAAAATATTTGTTTGGTAGGGAAACCTATTATAGGAATACACAACGGAACATCTCCTAAGCACTGCATGTGTATGGCTATATGAAGCTCTCTCTATATATATAAAGCTATAGTCTACGTGTTAGACTATAATATGTCGTTACCCTCATTACAGTCTTCACCCTTCCATCCAGACACGCATCCCAAAACACACGTTCCCGTCACATGGTCACAAGACGAATCTCCTGCACATTTCCTTTCTGAACACGTCATGCTGCAGGTCTGTCCATAGGTTCCGTTGTCACATTCTGTAACATGTGTCGTTATAATATGCCTTGTGATTGTGAAGCGTGTGGCAATACACAAGCAACTACAATTTGTGTACGAATTGATTTCGATTGTGCACTCATGTTGTCAGAATAACATGAAACTGATTAGTATTGGCCCTTAAGAATTGAGTTTGATATTATTTCGTTTAAGGCGTTAGAAACCTAAAAACTGAAGTGCAAACTGTATATATGTATGCAAAATGTACACTGCGCTTATACTCCATCAACAGAAGTACATATTGTAATCCAGTATTTACACATATACGTCAACGGTAATTTACTCCTTTTTTAATGAGTGACACACAAATGACAGCAGTACTGAATTAGTGACATCGTTCTATAGTGCAACACGGGCCCATATTTTCATCAACTGATCAGGACACGGTTGTTTTTTTAACTGGACGTCAACTAAGTTTTTTGATTTTGGAAAAAATATATGTACACAGTTGCTTGATTGTCCAAACAAATGCCACTGGAGAGATTACAATGTATATAATTTCAATATAGAGAGAATAAAGCACGTACAACACCTTATGACATATTAATCACTGAAAACCGAAGATGACACTGAGAGGTCAATATGTTCACGTTCAAGTCTGTTTTGATTTCAGTTATAGCTATACTAAGCAGCAAAAGAAACGTCAGTTTTGAATTTTACTTCGCAGAAACGGATAACTGTAAACTCATTTAATGTTTTGATTGTATATTTTTGACAACATCTCCAGCTTTACCTGAGCAAAGACATTCCTTCCCAAACTCAGAATGGAACCCAGGAAATGGTCTCAAAAACGCAACCTGATCTGGGAGATGATACGGTGTTCTCCATGTTTTTCATGCAACTCAAACCTGGTTGAAACATTTACATTACAATGTCAGCAGGATGCGCGAGTCACCACAGCTCAGAGGAACCAGGCGCTAGAAAGACTTGAAGCTGGCCACACTGCACAAGCCGTTGCCAATCACTTCCAGGTCAACGTTCGGACCATCTACAGGCTGCAGCAACGTTTCTGGGACACCAGATGATCGCCCCCGTACTGGCATATCAAGGGTGACCACAAGACGACAAGACCGCAATGTTGTGCGACAGCATGTACAGAATCCCTTCATGCAGGCATCCGAAACAGCACGCCAGACAGTGGGAACACACGAAAGACCAATCAGTACTGATACAGTACGCCGACGTCTTAACAGCGGGAATCTCCATTGCTGTAGACCTTACCGTGGACCTATCCTCACCCCTCGTCATCGACGTGAACGTCTACAGTTTGCCCTACAACACCAAAACTGGCGATACAGGCAATGGAGAACTGTTCTGTTTACAGATGAGAGTCGTGATGCCTATCAGCTGTAGATGGCAGAACAAGAATATGGCGACGACGTGGCCAGCGATATTCAGACCAATGTGTTATGGAAAGAGACTCATTGGGAGGTGCAAGCATCATGGTATGGGGTGGAATAGGCCTGAACCAGAGAGTGGGTCCTGTGGTGTTCCAGAACCTTGGTCCAGGGAGAGGAGGCGGCATCACATCGGTGCGCTACATCGACCAAGCTCTCAGACCCCACGTCATACCACATTTAGCACGTCACCGGAACATATTCCAGCATGATAACGCCCGGGCCCATACTGCCAGAGCTACACGGGACTTCCTACAGCAGAACGGTGTCAACATTATGCAGTGGCCAGCCCTTCGTCCTGATTTAAATCCAATTGAACATCTTTGGGATGAAATTCAGAGGAGACTGAATAATGTCATACCAAGGCCGAACACAGCCGATTTATTGCGCCAGGCCTTTCTCAGAGTGTGGTTCAAGGTGCCAATGGCCTTCATCAATCGATTGGTGCACTCAATGCATAGATGCTGTGCTGCAGTTATTGCCGCTCGTGGTGGTCACACTAGACTGATGTCAAGAGTCTGAATAGAATGCAAACGTTCACGTAATGTCTTGAAATTGTGCTGAGTTATTCATTGATGTGTTAAGATATTGTACACAAAAAATGTTTTTGATCCGCTTATTATGTCCATTTCTGTAATGATTTGATTACAGTGCCTATCTTATTTTGAATTCGTACTGACGTTTTTCTTGCTGCTGAGTATATTTCTACAACTCCTCAACCATTCAACCATTCTGATTTCTAGTGAGAATAGATCCCACACACTTCAAGAACAGACTCCTTTTAAAGTATAGCAGCCCCACAGTGTTGCTTTCTTAGTAGTGAATTTTGACTAAAAGGTAATCCCGTCTAAACAAATGAAGGTGAGGTGGTGCGTTTCATATCACTCATAAATATTGGAGTTCAATCTATGACTAATATATAAGATTGGGCTTCATGCAAGGTGCTGAGTAGATTATATTTCATGTCCCAACATTTGCTTTGAATTGAACGGCAGCGTGTACCTTGTGTACAGTCCACACCTCTCCAACCAAGAAGACATCCCCTGTCACATGACCCGGTGTAGCGATCACATGACGAGTTGACATCAGAACACTTCCTGTCAGTACATGTGTTCACACAGTTGACTCCATAGTGATTAGCGTCACATTCTACAAGAAAATCACAGTTTGAGTATCTCATAGTTTAGATTTGAGGATAAGTTTTAATGCAGTACGTCAATATAACGTCATAAAGGACTCAGGAGAGACTGCTTCATAACTATCAGGCAATACGACACACGACACAACAAGTATTTCAAGCAGCCTACATCATTCATTTTGGGACACAAACCCGTCAAGAATTGGATTTCAGCAACCCATGATTGTTAAGATAGGGGACAAAGAAGAATGGGTTGTCAGGCTTCCCGACATAGTTCATGCGTGTCATCATATCCGAAATGCTCAGATCCATGATAGGGACGGTAATCGCCGGACTGTCGGGTACAAGCATGATTATTTACAAACCGCAGCCATATAGCAGAGTCCGGCGTCAGTCTCCTCACCTATCATATATCAGTCTCTCTTACACCATGTCCTCACCTGTATCACACCTGTCGCCCTGCCACCCTGGTCTACAGTCTCGCGGACACACACCACTGACTGAATCTCCTCACCTGTATCACACCTGTCTCCCTGCCACCCTGGTCTACAGTCTCCAGGACACGCACCACTGACTGAATCTCCTCACATATCTCATATCAGCCTCTCTTACACCATGTCCTCACCTGTATCACACCTGTCTCCCTGCCAGCCCGCTCTACAGTCTCCAGGACACACATCACTGACTAAATCTCCTCACATATCTCATATCAGCCTCTCTTACACCATGTCCTCACCTGTATCACACCTGTCTCCCTGCCAGCCCGCTCTACAGTCTCCAGGACACACATCACTGACTAAATCTCCTCACATATCTCATATCAGCCTCTCTTACACCATGTCCTCACCTGTATCACACCTGTCTCCCTGTCACCCTGGTCTACAGTCTCCAGGACACACACCACTGACTGAATCTCCTCACCTGTATCACACCTGTCTCCCTGTCACCCTGGTCTACAGTCTCCAGGACACGCACCACTGACTGAATCTCCTCACCTATCGTATATCAGCCTCTCTTACACCATGTCCTCACCTGTATCACACCTGTCTCCCTGCCACCCTGGTCTACAGTCTCCAGGACACAAACCACTTACGTGGTCACACGCCTCTTTTGCGCAGTGACAAAATTCATTACAGGTTTCACCAAACATCCCAGGGCTGCAAACTGAAAATACGACATATCGATACGGTTACGCAGTAGTAATGTAAAATTATTTTACTTATATAAAGTTTGTCCATATCTAATATTCGTCGAGATATGAGAGGGTTATGTCCCATTATGGTAAACGTATGTGTGTGTCCTGCCATACAAGAATATTATTGATGACGGAAGTGAACACCCAGAGTGTGACTGTTTCTTCAAATGGTCTGTTTTCAACACATGATTACTTTTATCCATCATCAATCCCCGATTGGAACAGAAAACATATTTGTGCATCCTATTGATTATACATTAAACTCATATGTGATTTATCAAAATTAATCTTTTACGGATTGTTTGAGGCATTGAAACACATGGACACTGTAACCTAGTAGAAATCTAATACACCCCTACCATATATTTCTACCTCACAGAGGTTGAGGTATGAGGAGTTTGATATCGAGAAATATCTTCCAATGCCGTCACATGTTGCACTGTAGATCCCGCCGTCACTGACAGGGGTGTCGTGTCGGAAGGCATAGCAAGGGAGGCCCGTGGAGGAGCTCGTGTTACTCAAGTAGAGCACACAAGACCGGATTCTTCCTGGTTCTAAAATAGATTTTTCCGATGTAAGACCGACTAGATATCATTTATACAGACGTGAGTTCATTTACAATGAATTATTATGTTTGCCTTGGAATAAACTGTCTTTGTCTTTGTCACTGAACTAAAGTAACCAGTTACGTTAAGCACAATTTGTCAAAATGACTCTGTCTCGACTTTACGTGAAGAAATATGAATTAAGTTGATGTATCAGTATATCACAATTATGCAAATTCTTAGGCAGTGTAGGCATTGTCCCCAGTGAACCATCCTGGAACACATTTTGCTGTCTCATCGGATTGTTTGTAATCCATTTTGTCAAAATGTGAGATATAAATAAACTAACTATTTCAGTATTAGAGTAGTCAATGTCTGTTGGTCAAATCCTTACGATGCGATGGCTGATATATCTTGACATCATGTATCCTGTACTGCTTTCCTAGATCCACCGTCCACAAAGCCCATGTATTGTCAGCTGCGTTGAAACAGGAGCCATGTTGCACATACTGGTCCCTGTTTCCGTCTACAGCTTTGTCCGCAGACCACAAGGAACTAAACAGCCGAGTAGGGGAGGAGGCCGTTCTTCCGTATACAACATTTTCTGTTTTATGAAAATATTTTTGAGTAAATATTCTCCAATGATTAAAGTGTAAATCATCAAATAAAAAAATCCAAACATCTATATGTGGTATCATTTAATTGGCAAGTAGAGTGTGACAGCGCTTCCTTAGCTCAAACACAAAAAGGGTATCACTGACGGCGTCTCATTTCCACTATCCCGATTATAGTGGAGTATATATCTTGCCATGTTCTGTCTTTCATGTGAAACAATGGTGCACTGCAATACATTAAACGTTGTAATATACGAAACTAGTGTTTGCAACAAAAAATCCTTAACCCCTCAGTCAGTGAGAAGTTCATAAATTGACCATTATTTGTTAATGTGCATTCTAAGATGCCTCGCTAAAAGATCACAGGCGCCGACAGTATACTTTTTGCATGATGTCACACTGTAGACGTCACTACGCCATTCTCGTCTTCGCCCTCGTTATCTAACGTACCCATGGTGACTGTCATCGCCTACTACAGGCTCCTATAGTAGCTACTCAGCAGCATCCCGTTTCTTGGTTTGCAGTTGCTTTACTTGGCTAACATAACTGGTGAAAACATTACGTTTATATTTTTCGACGGAAACAATGTCTAAGGTCGACTTACAATAAACAGGGACACGGCAACGTTCGCAATAGTTACATTCCCACAATGGTTTACTTTAATAACATATGTAACTAAAATAATTTAGAGAAGATATTTAACGTAAACGGTCATCAAACTGTTTATCATTTGCGTTTATGGTAACGTCCATCTTAACGTAAGGGGGCAACAGCGCGTCAGTTAGCCCTGAACGAGGATTGTGCATTTAGGTCACCGACATCGTTTGTTCTCTACCTTAGATTTATCGTCGTTAAGAATTTAATTTAGCATCTTAAGAAAGAAATACAGGTCGCTCTACCCCTATGTATGGTGTAATGAAGTACACTTTGGCAAGGTCCTCGTACTTTAACTATAAAGAGTACTTTATTACACTATACAAGGGCGTAGCGCGAACTGTCTTTCCTAAATACAGCCTTGACAAAGTCGATGCTTATATTTCAAGGTCATTGTTAGATGTAGTTATTCAAAACGTATGAACAGTGATTTAGGCAGTCGAAAATATTCATTCAGGGACATTTACAGATATTAACATCATACCTTTCTGACAATTAGCTCCATTTCCTCCAACCCAGCCAGCGTCACAGCCGCCTCCACAAACTCCAGTTGTCTGGTTACACGAGTCTCCACAGTGACAGGGGTAGAAGCAAGATTCACCAAACTTTCCTGGTGGGCATGTACCTTTAGGACATGCATGTTCGTGATTAGTAACGGTATATCTAAATATTCCGTAACTATTAACGCATAGACATATTCTATGATTCTTATTGCTTATATCCTGAAAACAAATGGATGCATCTTGTGATGAGGAAACGACGAAACAGAATAGGAAATATCTCACGCATCAGTGACAAAGCGATGTCCAATGTCATTCCCTATTTGAACTTGTACTATTCGTTTTCGTTTATATTCAAGCGAACAATTGACTAGCCTTCCTATGTGTTTATGACTGATTGGCTACTTGTCGTGGTGTTCATTACCACATGCACATGATATAGTCGGAATTGTACAAGCAGAGATTTCTTATGGATGTAAAAAGCGTTTTGACGCTCGTATGTACTGCAGTTCTGACGTAGCGAAAGCAGCGAAAGTGCAGTTAACAGGAAATGCATGAATTTGTCCCTTGAAAATAGAAATATATTAAATGCCGTGCAATGCCGTGCATTAATTGAATGAAAATCAGTCATAAACTCTTAAAAAGGAAAAAATAGAGTGTATCACGCGGAAATGATGTTGGATGATAATTTCCTGCTTTAGGAATATACATTGTGACTAAATGAATTGACGAACGTAAGTGAGTGAGTGAGTGAGTTTAGTTTTACGCCGCACTCAACAATATTCCAGCTATATGGTGGCGGTCTGTAAATAATCGAGTGTGGACCAGACAATCCAGTGATCAACAGCATGAGCATCGATCTGCGCAAATGGGAACCGATGATCTATGTCAACCAAGTCAGCGAGCCTGACAACCCGATCCTGTTAGTCGCCTCTTACGACAAGCATGGGTTACTGAAGGCACATTCTAAGTAAAATAATTTTCAAAAAAGGTGAAACGACTATTGCCTTGGCATAACTTTCAAGGTGTTTCTTTTAAAAATCCTTTGTCAGTGATTGCATTTTGCGGGAAGCTATTCCGCCGGCCAGAGTAATAATCATTGACTGAAGGGAGAGAGAATGTTTTTTTATGTTCCAGCAATTTCACGGACGGGGTCACATGTGTCTCATGTTTAACTTTGAAGGGATTCAAATCCAAGATTTTGGCGTGAGGAGCAAGCGCTTAACCACTAGGTCGCCCCATCACCCATTGTTTATCAGGCGTCACGTACAAACAGGGTAGAACTATTCAAATAGTATTATCGTTAATACATGAAGGACCACATTAAATACATTTCGGCTTACTCCTCACAATGTCTCCATGTATATATGTTCCTACTTTGCATGTAGAAAATGATGAAGTTATAAAGTTTGGAACTAAAACCATATCGAATATGAATATACCTGTTTGTTATTTGTCTTGTAAATATAGCCACCCTACTCAAGGTTATACAGAAACCAAATCTTACTACTGCTAGGTGACGATGCCTAATTGAACAGATCAGTTCAATCTCAGAAGGAAGGAATATAGCGGGACATAAACAAACAACAACAAAGCAATAAAGTCAGTGCTAAAAATACTCAACGAGCCGGATCTTTGGTGACGCTTCCGAAACAGACAAAAGCTAATATCCAGGGTGATTACCTTCCCTAAACCGCTTGTCTAATGATGGAGGCTTAAGCGCTTGTCCCATTATGTAGTCAAATACCAGCTAGACAGTTACAGTCAAACACTACCGAAGGAACATACGTAAATATATCGTGTTATTCGAGGTTTGACACAACCGCAATACATGAATGTAGACAAAAGGTGTTTGTGTCCTCTACAGTATTTCAAGATTATAGATTACACTTGACTCCAAAAGCATCTAAATAAAGTGACTCCAGCACCACTGACTACATTGTAATACATGCCTACATAGATTGTAAAACACAATATTGAGAATGTCTACTGAATCTTAATAATGTAATACATTCAACATTCAACAGGCAACATTCAATCATACAATTACACAACTGTATAACGAAATGATGCTTAACAGCACACGTCTTTGCTTGAATTACAAGCAATACAAGTAAAATAACTGTACACAGACACTTTTTCTACTTAAACCTGAAATATGTTCCATTTTAGCAACTTTCTATTTCTCTTGTCATTTTCCATACACAATGTAAACATGCAATACTTTTAATCTTATTTTTAATTGGTAATCATCAAATAGAAACAAACTGGTCCCGACTGATGCCGGTTTTATGATTGTGGCCCACTGAGGTACCCAGCTCAGTGATAACCCTAGCAGACACATTATACTCACTACGAGAAGGTCGTTCATGATGTTATCCCATTAACCACTAACCACGGTAGCAACATGTACATTGTACATTCTTTGGTCAAGAGAAATTATTCATTCAGTTCTCAGCAGGCACATTTTTTACCATCGACCAAGCCGGAATTAAAAATCAACATTTGTTGAATGTTACTACGATTCCGTTTCTCATGTCGTAAATGCCATGATCAAGCGTTGATATATATTTTCTTACCAGCTAGACATGCATGGATGCGGCTTCATTGTGATTAGATTCTTGTAACATAATACCGAGAATATGCTCTTACCACCTACTTCGTGCAGCACAGTTGCAGATCATGCACATGAAATTATAACATCAGAGAAATTGTTAATGTTAAACGGGTACAGCTGTGAGGTATAAAATACTTGTTTTTTATCACAGGAACACTTGCTTGATTAAACCTGAGGAACTCACAGCTCTCCCCTCTTTTGTTTCAATGCTAGCTCCCAATAGCTAGCCTCCAGATCGAGGCCTCACTGTACCTTTACCACATAGAACAAAAGGCTATCTTTGTAGGACATGGACAGAGCATTAAAGTAGAGTCAGCCAGAAGTCATCCATCGGTATTACATTAAGGATATTAAACAACACCCAGCAGTTCGATACTGCAACAGTCCTACTATGTGGTAAGTGAGAACACTTCAATGAAAGCAAGTGATCATTGAGCACGGACTGAAAACCACACATTGAAAACTAACTGATAACCTACCTGTTAAAAGCGGTATCAAGTATGTTGACAACACAACGCCGACTGTCACTATCCGCACACACGCCATGTTTGACAACCAGGAAGTCATTTCCGCTCAACTGCGAAGCTAGGGTGCATCTCTTTGCTAAAGCGGAGTACTTAGCGATGTCTGGTTACATACAATTTAAATATCCAAAACGTGTGCATTTGTTTGCCTTTAACCATGCGAGTAAACATATCGACAGAACATGTGTTATTTCAACACTTCAAACAAAGTATGTATAAATGATCTCATACTATCCTACTCATCGTATCCCAAATGAGTAGATCGATGCTCATGATGTTGATCACTGGATAGTCTGGTCCAGACTCAAATATTTACACATCGCCACCATATGCATGTTTCTGGGATAAAGCTGAGTGCGAACAAAAAAACTACTAATGGTCATGTCTTTCAGAATGCGAGATACTGTGGAAGGATGAAGGCTGCAGACAGGGTGAATATTGCAGTTAACATTGTGAAACATTTGAACATATATGTATATGGAAAATATGTCTATTTGTTGAATTTAGTGACAATCCTTCATCAGTGACTCAGCTTTAAGCGACGATATTCCCGCCAAAGAAACAGAGACAAATACACCCTGCACATATCAGGTTAATATCAATATAACATGCCATGATTCGTGCGTCATGATACTGTTACAGCCTGTGACAGTCAACATTATGGAACTAACTGTGACAAAACCTGCATCTCAAGATCTTGTGATGGAAATCTTCCTGTAACTCAACAGTTGAGACAGGATGCACTCTCTTTCCTAAAGTTCCATGCGGCAATCTTAGCAATTCTGTCGCAGACAGCCGCCATGAGATGATTCCTTACATATTGCGTAGTCCATTCAAGATACTGATTTCATCTGTTATATGTTTGACTATCGACACATAATGTAGTTCACTGTCTGAGAAAATCTCCTAAAACGTCAAAATCTGTTTCCATTAGCGTAGTTCTCTTTTGTTCTTTCAGCTCCACGTGCTGAAAAGTTCTACGGATAGCTAGCAATACAGTCACTTTATTGCATAAATATATTGTCATCCTCCTCATTGTCGCAGTTGAAAAAGAAAGTCTACATTACTATGAGAATCAATATGCATAGGCGGATCCAGAGGGTGGGGTGCAGGGTGCGCACACACCCCCACACACACACCCACCCACACACACACCCACACCCCCCTGCCCTGAAAGTTTATTAAATGACCATTGAAAATCAGGTGAAAATGAAGTGTGCACCCCTCCATTTCTCTAGAATGCAAATTAGAATGTGTCAGTAATGTTTTGCTGAGTATCACTGCGCTGGGGTGTGGACAATGTGTACACCGGCCGATTGCACAAGTAATAATGTTATGTTCCCTTGGAGACAGAGAGTAGGGGGCTGTACAGTGAAAGTAACAGTGGGTGTAGGGAAACATGGGAAGTTATTGTGTATTGATAAGGTAAATTCATTAACTAAGTTAGAAGTATAACAGATAATTTTAATGAAGGGAAGAATTAACATTTCAACATTAAATTAATAAATGTATGTACTACACTCAGTTATGTTCTGTCCGGGGGTTTTTTCGGTATGTTTTTATCAGGGGCATAACGCTGACAAGAGATACACAGTAGACGATGTCATGACCACGTGATAACCTCCAACATTCACACTGCCATTTTCATCAACAAGACTACAAAACAAGTCACGGTTCCTCAGCGCATGGGTCAATACCGTGGGGTAAGATTGGTATCTACAAATCTTCCATTTACTCAGCGTTCAGCTACTTTTTGACATTCCTGTAACAAAACCAGCGCCACAAAACATCAGGAACGAGCCATAGATCTGTGTATAAAGACTGGCACTGCCGTATCCTGAGAGGCTTATCTAAGGTATTTATTTTTGTTTTGTTTAACTTGTTTAAGGACATTCACATATGTAAAAGCTTGCCCACATCGATAAGTTTAAGCAGCAACTTACACCCTCATGCAGTGGTTTACAGCGGATATTCCACGGGTAGCAACGTTTTGGTTAATTGTTTTGCCAAGGAGATGAATACACGAGAATGAGATGTGTCCACCAGAATCGAGAATTGCCTATGATTTCTACATGATTATTCTGAAGGGGCTGAAGGGACCAGATCAAATAAAATTTATCTTGAGCGCACGAGTTAGTATATTGAGAGCACAATTTAATATATTAAGCGCACAAGTTAGTTTTCTTGAGCGAACAAGTTAACATCTTGAGCGCACAAGTTATTATGTTGATCGCACAAGTTAATATCTTGAGCGCACGAGTTAGTATGTTGAGTGCACAAGTTAATATATTGAGCGTTCAAGTTAGTATGTTGAGCGCGCAAGTTAACATCTTGAGCGCACAAGTTAGTATCTTGTGCGCACAAGTTAATATCTTGAGCGTTCAACTTCGTGTTTAGCATCTAATGGCATTAATGGAACGCACATTTGCTTGACTGCTGGCTAAAATGTACAAACTTATATCCTTTTGGGAAGATTTCAAGCATAAACATGAGTAGGAGTTTTACTTACTTCTTATATTGGTACATAGTATTATGAACACTAGCGTAAAGCTTGGATAACTTGTTTTGTGCTACGGCTTTATTATGTATATATAGTATTACATGACCATGAAAAATGTAAACATTGAGTGTTATACTTATATTATCTTAATTATAAAACTAATGCCTGATGTATTGGAAGTAAAGTCGACCACTTTCAGGGAACTATAGTCTGTAGTCTTGGTTTGCATGTATCAGTAATGTTTCCTAACGTGGGTACAATATCATATAAAACCCGCCTGATTTATTTGATCCATTAGTATGTGCACGTATAGCACATATATCGACTTTATTTCTTACTAAAATACCATGTTCCCAGTTTTACTTCCTCCGTTTCAATCCCTTATGTATACGTATGTGTGTTGTAGTTTATTTAACATGTTTTAACAACACAGGAAGTTGAAGAATAAACACGTCGATGAAGACAGTGTCCTGAGCGAAATTCAACACCATCCGGGTCCAACAACGACCGTACAGTATCCTGTTTCACGATTAAACCGCATTGGATACATTTTTGATGCATCAACGATAACCATGTCTTTGTTCAGATGGTCGAAGCTGTCCGCAATAAAGTATGTAACATCAGCGGTGCGTGCGTGCGTGCGTGCGTGTGTGTGTGTGTGTGTGTGTAGCCTCGTGGTTAAAGCGTCCGCTCGTCACGCCTGGGTTCGATTCCCCACATGGGTACAATGTGTGCAGCCCATTTTCTCGTGTTCCCCACCGTGATATTGCTGGAATATTGCTAAAAGCGGTATAAACCGTACTCACTCACTCACTGTAACATCAGCAAATCTGGTATCTGGTGCGAAAGAGGGACATACACCTCAGAATACGCTTCGAGAGGTGTGCTATACTATACCATGATTTTTTTGACAAGAAGATGTGTTATGTGTTTGTATTGGAACCCAAGACTGAAATAAGCATGAATCAGCTCTCGTTTCCGCTCCTCCTTGCTTCCACATGAACTGCTTGTGGAGCAGTGTATCTCAAGATACTAACTTGTGCGCTCAATATATTAACTTGTGCGCTCAAGATACTAACTTGTGCGCTCAAGATAAATTATATTTCATCAGGTCCCTTCAGCGCTTCCGTAGGATAGGTCTCAAATGCAAAAGCATTTTTCTTAAATACGATAACAGACTCACCCTTTTATTTTCTTTCAACTAGTTTCCAGTAAATATGTATTAATATCTCCATGTACATATTATCATAAAGTAGCAACCGTATGGATTACAGCTTCTTCAATAGCTATATGACGACGTTTCGGTATAGATCCTTATAAAGCTATTGTTTGATTGGTTGATTGTACATTTCCGACTGTATTCTGAGCACGTGCTGTTTAGCGCCACACTCTGGGATATTACAATTGTACAATGGCTGTGTGTAAAGAGTCGCGTTTGGACCGGACAATCCATACAATTGCTACTTTGTCATTACCCAACTTCTAAAGATGCTTATCAAACAACTTACATTTTGTCATCTCACTTCTTATAAATATTTTTCTCTTAAACTAATAATAGCTCTAGGTGATATTATAGTTCTGTTCGGGGCATCGTTAACCCTAACTCACTGAATCTGTATTGTGGTGTTTTACCACACAAAAAAACAATGGTATCGTGTATCTTGCTCACTGAGGTTGGTTAAAATGTGGACTCATAAAGCAAACACATGTGCTGTTTGACACCGATCTTCACTGATCCCTTAATTTCTCCTTTGAAATATTAGACTCAACCGATGCCACATCACTTTTTATTTCAGGTATTAACACAAAGTGTTCTCGCGTGTTTTGTCATTGTGTTAATTTAGAATTTCTGTTTAGAGGTTTCGCACTTCAAGTTGATACCTTTAATTTATTTACTTAATTAGAAATCCCGTGTTCTGTTTGGTATGTACTTTACATTTAGCTAATTGAAGGGGTTAGAATAATAACAGGGTTAACTACATTTTTAGCATTTCTTCATAAATGGAGGTTTTTTAAATATTTTTGAATTATTATTGATGTGAAACGCACATAAAATACTTTATTCTGCTTGTGTTTGATATTTCAAAGACTGTTTGGCAAACATTTACATACATTTTTTGCCCTCATTCAAATACTACATTTTTAAAAAAAAAATTGGATTTAACCTCTAACCCCTTCAATTACGTTCGAACCCTCTGCATTGAATGTACGTCTGTCTACTTGTTCTACCAAATGTCGTGCATTGGAGCCCGTGCATAGTGTTTAGGCAAAAGTAGTGTAACGCTGTGACGTTCTCCAACAGTGATACCAATGCAATATAGCACTGCATGAGTTTTAAACACTGAAATTATTGGTCATCACCATACCCGTGCACGTTTTTACCAATGTTCAAACGTCTGAGACCTGCACCACTTCGGGCTTTCCCCATACTTTTAGGTTTCACTGGTCAAAGCAGCGTTAAATCTAACCCACTCACTCATTCAGTTACCCCGGAAGACCATGGCGTTTCGTTCCAATAATTTTGGTCCGTTTTGGTGTTGGTCGGTTTACGATTAACTCCTCACATCATCAAATTTGGCATGCGCTGTAATCGAGCTTATAGTTCGAAGGGAGGAAACTGCGTAAGTTTTCAGTCAGCATCTCACGTTAGTCTACGTGGATCCGATTGAAAAGAATCACAGTCGTTTCGGCAACGTCCGTCTACAAAGTCGTCAGGTCAGCTGTTTTGACATTATGCAAAACTTCGAGGCTAACATTTCGTCGGTGTGCTTGTGATCGGAAGCAAAGTAGAATCTAATCTCCCGCCAGTTGTCTTCGTCTGCGCGACCATAGAAATCGTCTTTCTCTATATTTCTATGGCACGACCAAGTAGTGTTTAGGAACTTAACAAAGATATGCGTTGCCTAAACTCATGTCATCACTCTCACGTCGATACAAACACCGAATCATGTCTGGAAGGGAAGTGATTGATGGGATGCAATATGTATCACTTGCTGATAACAATTTAGAGTCAGAAACATCATCGAAGCATTCATAAAATCCGTTATCTTGATCAAAACCTTTGTTCATGCGTATTTGTTATGTTTTGTTTCCTCTTCTTAAATTCTTACTGACATTTCCATAGCATTTCAGTGAGTTGCTTCCTTGCTCTCTCAAGGAATTAATGCTTCATCATATACATGTGAACTGGCTGCCGAACAGTTATCGCCATATTTTAGCGGTATTTACCAAATTACTCAGTCGTTCGTTCAGTTAATGAAACACAAATAATTATGATACTTACTTATCCATTCACTGGTGTGCCAAATCGTGACAGTACAAATAGGTCTTTTCTCACAACTAAAACTAACAGTTATAGCCATTTCAGAAGTTCTCATGTCATTCGTGAAATAATATTTATATCCTAAAGTAACCTTGAATAATTGTTTGTGTCACTAGTTGAGTGTTTGTGTTACAGTAGATTGATAGGGAATGAAACAGTTAATTCCTTTGGTGAACTTGCTATTTTATAGATCGTGTGCCATACCCCTCGACTAAGTTAACAAACATTTATAGGGTTCATAACTTATCTTTGATTTTTCTTTTATGTTATTTACGCTGAAGGGGTCGTTCTGTATACAGAAACATACCCTGGCCATAATGAGAATACAGAAACGTACCCTAGGACGATTCCATTCCCATTCTTGATCGGAACTGTCATGCTGGTGTATTAGATACATTTGATTGCTTTCTGGAAGTAATGAGAGTACACAGTAACGGATATTTTGCGATGCATATGAATACCACTCGCAATCAGTTGAACAGGAACAACTACATATGGTTTCGGGTTTGGATTGCGGAATATGGACTCGTCCGCCTTTTAGGGTACCGGGTACGTTTCTGTATTTTGACTTTGTTTAGGGTACATATCTGTATACAGAAACGTACCTGGGGTACGTATCTGTAGTACCTGTGCCAACGACCCCTTCAGCATTACTTACCATGAAGAATTTTCTTTTTCTGTCCTGTATTGTTGTCAAATACCATGGGACAAAAATCCGGTATTCTTTAAGACCGGGAACTACGCACGCATGATACTGATGTATATTGGCGTTAACTGTTAAGCGGCAATAACTGTTCGGCAGCCAGTACAAGCCTACCTTGTTCAAATGATGGCTCCAGTAATTTTGAGTTAAACTATATGCATATATACACTGAAGGATCAAAGGCATCAATTCTACGTTATCCAGTGATGAAGTACAATTTTACCCTTAAGACATAATTGGCTGACATCATGAAAGTATTCAAATTTCTTCCCCTTTTTTCTAATATATACAGTCAAGATGGTGCATCTACAACTGTTGGTGAAATATATGCTTGAGTTTTGTCGAAAAATGGTATGTAGACCCTGGTGATTGTTGGTGTCCTAGGAATTACATTTGTTTGTGGACACAGCGATTGGCAGTGCTTGAAATGTTTCCAGTCACGTGATTATACGGAGCATGGGTAACATGTAATCTAAGGTTACTATCCTACTTACTGCTGCATTTGGATAATCACACACTGAACAGATAATACAATGTGACTTATTTATTCCTAAACTATCATAGTTTATCATATTATATCCCAGTCCTCCCAGCTGTGAATGGGTACCTCGTAAGTAGGGTAAAGCCACATTCACTCGGTGCACCTAGTAGCTGCAAGAGTTGTATGATTCCCAGGGAGTTGAGATTGATAATACAATCTGCCATTTGAGATTGACATCCAGTGATCGAGGGAAAAATAAAGCGCGCCTTTGAGCAGCTGAGCTGAGCTGGATATTAGCACTAAACAAATATATATAAATAAATAACGCCAATCACAGGTGTAAGTGCCCTACACTTCAACTGCTTTGTTCAAGGATTTCAGTTTACTGAGATGCCTATTACAGATTTGATTGACCATGTCCAATAAAACACAAGTTCAGTATTATATTTGGCATCTTAGAACCTCATGCTCCAACTAGTATAACTTGGGCAGTATTATACTTTTCTTCAGTACTTATTTAGGTTGAGTAAACCAATTCTTGAGTGGAGTAACCTCCCCTTAATACGTACTTGGCTCGAATGCAACCTTCTCTATCTTTTACACTGATATCTAGATGCCATGTATACCACACAGCAATGAAGTAGTGCAGCCTTTATCAGTTTCATTCAGAATATACTGATCAATTTCTGTTTCAGAGTGAAATGTTCACTCAGTATCAAGAATTTGAAAGACAACAGTTCAAACTTACTGGTTGCTAAAGTGTTGGGTGACATTTCTAACCTTAAGGGAGTCGCAACATTTAACTAACCGGGAACTAACTCATTAAATAATCACAAAATTCACCTGGTGCAACCTCTGGTGACATCCTTCAGATATTCATGCAGAGATGCACGTTAGTGAAGCGTAACGATATTATTTTAGTAACATTGTGCAGAAATGCCTTGGACCCAATTGCTGGAGAACTCATGGAAGCTCTTTTTGTAATCGACCATACTTGTTATTCAGATAACATGAACAGCACGAGTCTTCATATTTACAAGACTTTAGTGTTAATGGAGCGACTGAAATTAGATGGTTACTAAAACCACAATGCTACTTGACTCAAGCTCTTGTGGCAAAAATCACAGAGTGACCCCTCAAGGGATTCTCACCAAGTTCTCCCAAGAATGAACTCTGGCAACCAGTGAAGTATCTTCTTAAATAATTTATCCATTTACAATTACAGTTAACAGTTAAATCTGAACATGAAACAAATTGTATTGGAAATACATCGGCACCAGCTACCTTGTACTGGAGTTGTTAGATAAGAGCAACTGTGCATCTCTCCTGAGAACTGCTACAAGACCAGTGGCAGTGACAAATCAGATGAAGCTAAGCAGTGTCATTTGTCCTCTGTGTTGGAAATATAAGTAAGAAAGAGACTTCAAGAAGGACTGCAGACATTTCTGTGTCGACTGCCACTTTCACCACTGGATAGGCAGCTTGCGAACTGTCATTTGTCACTGAAACTCTGCATTAAATGCTTTTTCTAGATCAGTGAAAGTAAAAAATACATTCTAACCCACCCAGCAATTTGTTCCTGCTTTGTTTTTGTATCTGAAGAGGACAACCTTGAAAACAGGCAATTACCAGCAGCAGAAATTTAGTGGTAATACATACAGACACCACTGAAATGCTTGAGATGCTGAAAGCCCTCAGGATACCTTATAACTTGAGTCTGTCAGGCTTGTGACAATCTATATCCCCGAAGTATGGGGGTGAGTGGATCTCAACAAGGAAGGAATGATACGTGTATTGTTGGCCACACACCCTGATTATGTTTGTAGGTTTATCAGCACCCATGCCTGTGCTGGTGAGTTCCACTAAACTGGTAACTATCTAAAACCCTCAGACTTCTAGCTTTCTTCCCAAATATAGAAGAAGTACAGTGATATACATTAAACAGTGTTTATTAAACCTGACTGACTCATAAGCGGCCACCGAATGGCTTAGCTGATGGCATATCATAGTATCCTGTTGGTATTTGTCATTGAAAATTGGTAAGATTGGTAGTGATTACCCTTAGTGTTTACAACCTTATGATATCATATACGGATAATGCTTACAGAATATATTGCAGATAATCATAAACCCACATAAGTAGTGATTACTCAGGAAGACAAAAATTGTCATGGTTATAACATGGCTTCCGATTGGTCATTTGTGTAAAACATTTGTAAAGGTTATGGATGTTGTTGATGGTAATCCTTAGATTTTTTGTACTGAAAAAAGTAATACAAATATATTATTAAAGCAAAAACATCAATAATAAAGCAAGTTCTAATTCATCTCATCTAAAGCATATGCTGTGTCATCATAGGAAACTCACAAATATTTGTTACTGGAAATACAAATGATCAACTGAGATGAGAAACATAACCAGCACAAGTTTGGTTTTATTCACGGATGTGTCTGTAAATGAGGTTGTGTCCTTAAAACAATGCCCAGTACTGAAATGTTTTACTCTTGTTTACAGAACTTCATATTCAAGACTGGTTCAAGGGACAGCCATGACATACAGTTTGGGATGTTGTCACAGATACTCTTGTCTGTACAAATTGTTTTTTGGTGTACCAGTCAGTGGTAGAATTAAGGCTGAGCTTGTCCCCAGGCCAGAGGCAACCAGCAACAATTGTCTCAGACTGTACCATGCTTGTAGGGCAACATGTTGGTCACACCATTTCTACAATATGAATAGAGAAGGAAAACTGTTCAGGCCTTATATTTCCTTGTGTAATTCAGAAGTGCTGATGGTACAGAGGTCGAGCAAACACTTTGTAGTTAATTCAGCATCATTTTCAAAAATCATTCAGTCCAGAAGATGCTTCTCAGCTGAGAACAGACCACATGGTAAAAATGGCATAATGAAGACACTGTTGGAAGATGAACCTAAGATGAGATCTGATGAAGAAGATTTGTCACTCGGCAGTAAATCTTCATCAAGGCATGATCAGACTGGTGTGGAAGAGGTAAGGACTCTGGCTCAGGCTGTCCTCGAGGAAGCTGTTAAGGTGGACAAGATGTGTATGTCCATACCGGTACGGAGTGTGGAGAGAGTCATCCATCACCTGCTATCTGAGGGCTTCAACATGGAACAGGTGAAGGAACTACTGATGAAGAAGACGGGACTCATCACCTCCAGGAGGCTGAAACAAGTCCTTCAGCTGCTCAAACGCTATGGGTTTCAAGCGTCAGACATCTTTAGAATGTTGATGACAGTTCAGGACCTGTCTCTGCTTCAGCAGGATCTGCTGAATAACCTGTATGATACTCTACTGAGAGCTGGTTTTAGTGACAGGCATCTTCAGGATGTGATCATAAAGGAGCCAAGGTTACTAGGTCTTGATAGTAAATACATCTTGGACAGGGTGACCTTGATGAAACAGTATTTCAAAAAAGATGATGTTCTAGGAATTGTCTGCCAAACACCAGATGTATTATTGGCGAACTGGGATGACATCCTGGGAAAGTTTAATTATGTTTTTGGTGAAATGAAGGTTTCCCAGAGACAAATGGTGACTGCTAGTTTGTTCAGTTACTCCCTAGAGCATGTGAGAAATCGCCATGTGTTCCTGCTGCGAGCTGGGTTCTTCACAGAGGACAAGCACCTGCGATGTAGCAATCCTATCCTCAAAGACATTATAGGCACCAGTGATATTCAGTTTGCCAAACAGTTCGGTGGAATGCATGAAGCTGAATACAAGACATTTTGTAAACTACAAGCTAAATTTGAAATGAAAAAAGACAATGCCGAGACAGACTCTGACTAATACCGGTATATTACATACAGCCTATGGATGTTATGATATGATTATATGTATCACCATACTTTGTTCATACATTTCGATATACTTAAATGAGAAATTTTATTTCATTGGACCTACACACTTTTCAATGGGCTTGCAACTTCCTGCAGTCTCTGGTCTCATATTTGAAAATGGATCTTATTTCTCTTCTTGGTTACGGTATTAATTGATACATGAGAAGTGTACTGAATTTCATTAGAGGAAATTATTAGTGCATCAATACATGTATATAGTTGAACCTGTAGTTTGCTTGGAATGCTGCTTGGAATGTTTCTTAGCTTCATACAAGTCAATGAAGAATCAGTTTGTTCTCTGCATTTCAGTGACTCCATCAGCGAAAAGAAAAGAACCATTCTTATGATGAATATTTCATTGCATGTTTAGCGTTTTGGGACATTTGATCTTAAAACTAGGCAGTTGAATTTTGTGAGAAAAATGGGAAATTTTATTGTTGTTGCTGTTGGCAAATATTGTTGTGTTAATAAACTTGTTTGAAACAATGTCACATTTGTAATTGTATCCTTATGATCATTTGGAGCATCATTTTGTTGGTTCAATTGATCTATAGTGATTTCTCATATAGACATGTGTAAGGTCTATATGTATGGCAAGTCCACACTTGGTGACACTGTCTTGACTTGACTGGGATTCTACCAAAAGCACTGTCAACAAACAGACAAATGAGTACTACCCATTTCTCCCATGTTGACCTGTAGGGATTCCAGGTTAGAAATCTGGAGTAACCCATGCTTGATATGAGAAGTGATTTCTTGGATTGGCTGCTCAGGCTGCTCAGACTTTGTTGCTGATGTGTCAGTCTGCCCCCAAAGCATGGACCATTGCCCATAACATCAATCACTGGGCTGCCTTGACTAGATTACTTACAAACCACATGACTAGAGATGGAATACTGCTAACAACGCAAGCTCTCTGATAGAGCCAACAAATGCAGAAATTGATTTCACAGTTGGTCCTTTTAATTTACATTTGTCCTTTCTTACCTCTAAATATGTCACCATCACTAATACTTTTTCCTGTGTCCTGTTTAAGTACAGTTAATGCATCTTTTGTGTATCCCTTTATGTTTACTTTACTTTAAGAGGCAAGAAGTGTGACTAAAAGAGGTCATATGGTACACTGCACTCAGGTTTACATTTATAAGTTTGTTATCTTAGTACACTGAAGAATTAAATCATATCAGACATACTGTGGTGTAGATCATTGGTTTGTGTGGTCCAGACTTGATTGTTTACATGTTGCCATGCTATAGTTGCAATGTCGCTGACTGTGGAAGAAAACTCAGATTAATATTAAAAAAAGGGACAGTATTCCATTTCAATATGACATATCTTAACATTTCAGGACAAGGTAGCTATGGATAATGCAGAAGACTCAGGCTCGGACTTTGATGACAACTATGATGAGGACTTCGACGACACTGATAGCTACTACACTGATGTTGATGAAGATACCAGATCAGATGAAAGCTACATGTCCGACATTTGTATTGATCTGTCCAAAGATGTTGGCGACGAAAGTTATATAGGTGAAGACAGAAACACCATGGAGGCAGGAAGTGATGAAGACGATGATGTTGATGAGGAAGACGATGAAGACAATGATAAGTGCCTGGTTCAGCTGACTAAGCCTTACAACCCAAACAAGAATGACGTGCCAGACAGTGATGGACAATTTGATAAAACTTCTGATTTAGACTGGGGTAACTTGAAGGCACTGATCATGATGGCTGATGGTCCTGGAATTGCGGACTGGTTCTCGAAAAGAAATATTTCACCAGCAGCTAAAAACGAAACTGGTAACTTCTGGCCTTTGAATCTAGCAGCTAGGATTGGGAGTTCAAGTATTTTCAATTTTCTACTTGGTGAAGGCTTTCCTTTAGATAACCTTATTCATCCTTTCTTAGAAGCCTCCCTGAACCACGAGTTTGACATCATGGAGAGGTTGCTTGAAATTGGTGTTGATGTAAATGTATGTGATCTGAGCGGTGCGACAGCTCTACATTTAGTTGCCAAGCAAGTGACCTGTAAGCCCCAGAAGATCAAGTTTCTGTTGTCCAATGGAGCTCGCATTGATCAAAAAGATAATTCGGGAATGACTCCACTTCACTATGCTGTTATGATGGGTTCTATGGGAAGTGTGATAGCGTTTCTGAGGGGAGGTGCTTCTGTGGATATTCTGAGTGGCAAAGGGCGGCCTGTTTTACATATGGCAGTTTATCGAGGGTTGAAGATGGTGGTCCTTCTGTACAAAGCTGGCGCCAGGCCTGGAACCTCTCCAGCATATAGTGAAGTTTCCGCAGCTTGGAAACACGAGAATATAAACCTACTGAAGTTCTTTATCAAAAGGAATGCTTCTGTTCAAATACCTGTGACAATGATGACACGATTAAACTTAGATGACCTTGACAAAGTAGCTAAGATGCTGGATCTGTTGGTTGGTGCAGGGTACTGTCCTCAGTCAGAGCTCCTGCTTGAGGTATCTAACGGATCAGACTTCTGTAAGTCAACACTGGACAGACTTCAGCAGGTACAGAGTAATGCCAGAAGCTTACAGGAGCTTGCTTGTTTTAAGATTCGGGACATTATCCGGAACCAGCCCCAAGGCATCCTGGAGGTAGTGAGACACCTCGACCTGCCTGACGTTCTGAAGGATGTATTGTTGTTAAAGCATGTCATTGGAAAATAATCATCATTGTCATATGTTTGATATACAACCAAGGGCAGAAGTAACTGTGATCTTTTTATCTTGCTGTGCTCGCATATTGTTTTGAGCTTCTTGGTTCATTTTCTTTGAAAATTTAATGCTAAGATTTAAATGGGCTCAAATGCACCTCATTATTATTCTTTATATAGAATTGAAATTCATTTGGATGTTCTTGAGACGTGTCATGCTGAAACATCCACTTATTTTCATTCCCTTCATTGGATATGTAGTATGTACAGCCTTGTAAACTGGGAAGAACATTTAAGTTTCCGTTGTGATCCAAATATTCATTAAAACAGCATCAAGCAGCCGGCTAGCTGTGCTTACCTACCACAGACAGTGAAATTATTGTCCGCATCTTGCATTGATATTTCTTACTTCCCTTGCCAAGGCGTGGGACCTACAGATTTATTCATTTGGGGCAGGGAAGCTATACTCCTTTTGCTCAGTAATACTCAAAACATTCTGTATCACCATTATTAACTGGAATATTATCAGATATCAAAACATATGATCGGTTACTGTTGCCTTTGATTATGTACTACTCACAACTCATCAACCCATGCTTGTCGTAAGAGGTGACTAACTCCATCAACCCATGCTTGTCGTAAGAGGTGACTAACTCCATCAACCCATGCTTGTCGTAAGAGGTGACTAACTCCATCAACCCATGCTTGTCGTGAAGCTTGTCGTGAAGAGGTGACTAACTCCATCAACCCATGCTTGTCGTAAGAGGTGACTAACGGATCTAACTGGTCAGGGTGACTCGCTTGACTAACTCCATCAACCCATGCTTGTTGACACATGTCAACGTGTTCCATCAACCCATGCTTGTGTAGATCGATGCTCACTGTTGATCACTTGATCGTCTGGTCCAGACTTGATTATTTACAGACTGCCGCCATATATCTGGAATATTGCTGAGGGCGGCGTTAAACAACAACCAAACCAAAAACTACTCACAAAAAGTAAAAAAACATCTGATAATTGTTTATACTGTCAATGTAACCAGTGTACAATATTTTCATTTCCATAAATGTACCGGCTTCAAATCTTGGCCTGGCCAGAAGGGGTGCACCATATGTTCATGTTTTTGTATATGTAAATAAAACAAAATGATTTACTATTTTGATACATTTCACAAGGAGTTGTTTTCTTTCATTTCAGCCTTATTCTGCAAATTTTGAATGTAATTGAAACTTATTGTCAAGAACATAAAATTTCTTACATTTCTGGTTGAGTTGGCGTTTGCACTAGTCCATAAGTACTAACTGTGCAAAGAATGCCATGGCAGACATCAGATAAACCACAAAAACAAGAACCTTGAATCATTCCATGGATACTTTAATGCAGAACTCGGTGATACACAATCAGTATATATAGTCAATAAATAATATAATCCACATCAGCAGGAACAGAAGAGTTCCAGGAATCTGGAATTATGGCATCACCATGATGAGCAGACTTCTAATTATCCGATTCCATATTTCATGAGACACATGATGACAATATCTTGAAAATATCTTTCACTTTGTAAAATCATCATTTTCAATCTGAAATGAATTAACAATTCACTTTCAAAATGTGAGAAATACACACCTGCGATCATTTGAGACAAACGTTTGCAAATGAAAGAGTATTTTCTCTCTGTTTTATGAGTGTGTATTTTTTACAACACTGCTGTTAGAATGTTACTGTTATGTCATGGTGCCATGTACACCATGAAGACTTTGACCTGAGATACCAAGGACCAACAATGTTACTGTTATGTCATGGTGCCATGTACACCATGAAGACTTTGACCTGAGATACCCAGGACCAACAATGTTACTGTTATGTCATGGTGCCATGTACACCATGAAGACTTTGACCTGAGATACCAAGGACCAACAATGTTACTGTTATGTCATGGTGCCATGTACACCATGAAGACTTTGACCTGAGATACCCAGGACCAACATTGTTACTGTTATGTCATGGTGCCATGTACACCATGAAGACTTTGACCTGAGATACCCAGGACCAACAATGTTACTGTTATGTCATGGTGCCATGTACACCATGAAGACTTTGACCTGAGATACCCAGGACCAACAATGTTACTGTTATGTCATGGTGCCATGTACACCATGAAGACTTTGACCTGAGATACCAAGGACCAACAATGTTACTGTTATGTCATGTCCATGTACACCATGAAGACTTTGACCTGAGATACCCAGGACCAACATTGTTACTGTTATGTCATGGTGCCATGTACCATGAAGACTTTGACCTGAGATACCCAGGACCAACAATGTTACTGTTATGTCATGGTGCCATGTACACCATGAAGACTTTGACCTGAGATACCCAGGACCAACAATGTTACTGTTATGTCATGGTGCCATGTACACCATGAAGACTTTGACCTGAGATACCCAGGACCAACAATGTTACTGTTATGTCATGGTGCCATGTACACCATGAAGACTTTGACCTGAGATACCCAGGACCAACAATGTTACTGTTATGTCATGGTGCCATGTACACCATGAAGACTTTGACCTGAGATACCCAGGACCAACAATGTTACTGTTATGTCATGGTGCCATGTACACCATGAAGACTTTGACCTGAGATACCCAGGACCAACAATGTTACTGTTATGTCATGGTGCCATGTACACCATGAAGACTTTGACCTGAGATACCCAGGACCAACGCTCAAGTACTGGGTACTAAGGACTGGGGACCTATTCCACCAGAACCTTGTTTATCTTCATATCATATCAAATCCAGCATTTTTAACTGCTCCACCATCCAAGTCAGTTCAGAAGTTTCAAAATCTGACTTGAATTAATCAATTCTGCATTGTTTGATTGTCTTGTTTCTCATGACATCACACTGTATCAATGTCCTCATCTTCGTCCCGTCCGTTGGCAGCTACAGCCTGGGTAAAGCCGTGGCCGGTCCTGCTGATGGCCATCACTGGCTTCATGGCAGCCATGATGCTGTTGTATAGGTGTGGGAACAACAGCTCCTGAGAGGCTAGCAGTTGCTTCGTCCGATGACGCTCCTGAAACACAAACATACTATGTATCTATTTGTAGAAGATCCTCATTATATACCACCAGAAACACAAAAGAACACCGTGAAATCTGTGTACATTCATGGACTGACCATTAATATATAGAAGGTGGGTCAGAGAGGGGCACCATCCAAAATAATATACATACTTGGGAGGAAATATGTCACTTTATTAATGTGAGAACATTTTAATTTTCTTGATTTACAGTGTACAAAGGCACCAAATGAACAAACCACTACACTGTTTTGATTTACTTATCCATCTTCTACATGATATCCACCTTTGAACATGACCTATACGTAACGTTGTAGAGGAGGTCTTAGCAGCACCCTTCTTACAGTAAGTCTCGAAGAGCTCGGGGGCACCACCTCCCTTACAAGACGTCCCTTTAGTTACCCTGCCCCCGAGGATCATCTTGACCTATACACGAGGGCTTAGACTGACCCATGTACATCATGTTAAAACCTGAAAGATCACACACCATCATGTTCACAGTAAATGCATACCTTAGGAGCCTCAAAGCATGCAGGACAGTTCTCTGCTATCACAGGTAGCTTGTTCTGAAACGGAGAAAAATACCTTGCATAGCAGTCAGGATGATCCTACTCCAAGGAACACTTTGTGGAACAGCTGAGGTCCATCAGGGGTGGAAATAACTTTAAAATTGCTAGTGTACTCCGGAACAGTGGCACATGTAAAATCACTTGCCCTGATAATTTGTTCACTATACCGGCCGTTTTCTTGTGGATTTTTAAAAATAAACAACATAAATAACATTGGAAAGTCAACTGGACACCGGTACAGTGTGATATACAAATTTGCTTGCCCGACAGAAAAAAACACTGGACTCGGACGTCGGGCAATGGATTATTTCCACCCCTGTCCATGTATGTTCCCACTCTCTGCATTATAAGTGCTTGGAATTGCAGTCTCCTCATTTCATCTTTCAAATGTCTCATCAGTTTGTCCCAACCAATGAAATAGAGGTCACAAATACTAGGGCTGGGACAGGTCCAAATTTCCTACCCGGGTATCCGACCCCCTATTACCCAACCCGACCCGGGTACCCGACATAACACTAATTGTGAGTTATTCCCCTTCAATAAAATCAGTCATTGCCGAGATTAAGAATCCATCGCATCAGGCACAAAGACACAATGCATTTTGTGCTCAGGGCAGCTAAGTCACAAAGGAGGGGGTACGTCATCGATGTGGAAACATCTGGACAACGAACATCCCTTCATAACAAACGAGCTACAAACAACTGCCGATCGGACAACCTACAGGCAAAATACAATTGAAGGTACAAATATAAAGTGTATGCCATTAAGCTTATAAGTAGACAACGTAATGTAAAACAAGTTGATCATAGCGGGATCGTGATGGGTAATGTGATGGGTACCCGAGTCCAGCTCTTTATCCACCCGTCCGGGGTATCCGGGTTACCCGTCCCAGCCCTAACAAATACCTTGTGCATCATTCCAGAAATATATGTAAACATTAGGGAGCCTTTCATCATGTTCATGTCATTCAATCAGTCATCTCAAATGTCTCTTCAGTTATCTAATAACAGGATATTTGCTAAACAAATATGGACACTAAGAGTTCTTGGAACATTATAGATTACTAACATAATTTTTTTGTATTAATCAACAAACCAGGTAAAATTTACTAATATTATGCCCAAAATACTCACTCTCTGAATGCAGTTTTACAGAACCTATCCTTCACCCACAAAGCACATACTATTACTGAAGCCTTTAGGTCAGGATGTAAACCCATCTACAACCTAAGTGGCATTTCTCTGTCAACTGATGTACAAGCAGCCACAAGATTCCCCCCTGTTGCCTACCTTTTCAGCAAAGTGGCGTAGCTCTTTCTCTCGTACAAACACAAATGGTCTGATCACTCTCAAATCCCCCTCTCTGTAAGAAGGACACAGCATAAACACAGGCTGAATCTAACTAGCAAGTAAAGAATATGGTACTCTAATTGATAATGGTAGTAAGATAGATATTTAAAAAATGACATCAGTATGTTTTGGCATACAGTAGAAACGGTTGACTACACTATATAATCTTTCAGTGCCATAATGCCAACCAAACTTGCCCATTCTGTTATCAGCCAATCAGCTTAAAGTATATGTTAGTGTGTCTTTATTACATTTAGGTTTATGGAACACAAAAACATTTGCCTGTTTAGCCAATCAAATGCTATAGAATCCCTTGCAGTTTATATACATCTACATGTTTAATAAGCAGCTTGCTTACTGGACTGTGTAGTGGGCCTTCATTGTTCTGATCACACCATTGTGAAAGAAGGACATCAGAAAACTGTAACAGACAAAAGGGAAGTAGCAGCTAATCTCATCATCATCATCATCATCGCCACGATCTGCCTGCTCTTTAGTGAACTACTGGACAAACACTACAGCATCATTCATGAACCGATGGATAAGTGACTGAGCCAATGTCCTTTGTGAAAGCAGTGATCGCCCCTGCTGGTCATGATGCCACACTATCAACAATAAGAAGAGCCTAGACATCAAACAATAATCGCATCAATGTACTGCAATACTGGCCACAATACATGGTGCTTTCATCATGCAGCCATACCTCTCTGCCAGGTCATCCAGATGTTGTCCGAGAGCCAGCACGTTGTATCCTTCCCGGCGGGCCGCAGCGTAGATGCGGCCACGCTTCATGCGGCTACAGAAGCTGCAGATTGATGCACAGCCGTCGGGCAGGTTCTCAGCTGTCTCCAGGATACCTGGAATATATGAGAACATTGGAGCCATGGTATATTCTTCTGCGTTGGAAGTATCACTTAAAACATCTTTAGATGCAGCTTATCCAACTTACTTCATGAAAACAGTATTAGGACTTACTATCAAATGTTAAACAAGGTTTATTGGCAGCAGTTAGAAGACTTGGATAAGAGACTTCTACTGATTCTTCCTTAAAAGTTCCAATAGCTATGTTTCATATGTTTTAATGCTTGAATTTTAGGACCATTAAAAGTTCCTTTCATAAACACTTAAAGGTCACATGCAACGTAAAACACAACTTTGCAGATTCTGATACCTTTCGGTATGGACATACCGAAAGAAATCGTCAAAAATGCAAATTCAACTTATAAAGTTGAAAAATAACGCGATGAAAAAAAACGCGCGAAATCGGAGTTCAAACGTTTCACTAATTTTCCCCTGACTTTTCTGGGGAAAACGGGTTTCAACAGCTGGGCTGCGCTCATAGCACGTGCGCAAGTAAATAGGTTCGCGCAGCTTGGAAGCGGGTTGTCGGGTGAATACCCGGTGAAGGCTTTGGTGTGAGCTATTTTTCTAATGTTTTGTTGATATCTCACAGGCGCGAGCTTTTATATGTTATGACAGTAAATTAACTGTTTATATAATTTCATTTGTCTATTTCACCACCACGTTCTTCTTACCGAGTCACTTTCTCAGTTCGATACTTAAAAGCAATGTCATTATTTAGCGTTGACAAAATTTCTAACTGTGATATAGATATGTCGTTGTCACAGACAAAACTCAATGTCTTGTTTTATTGACACCTGTGTGTCTGCCTGCCTGTCTGCTAATGACAATATTCAATACACAGCTGCTATCACTGACCACATGCAATTCGAACTTAACACCAATCAGGCTATACACCATAAACAAAACGCATTGATTTATGGCCCGAGTTCGGTCTCTGTCACATTATGTAATTACACAGACAGGCAGGTGTGATACTTGAACACATGACATGTTATGATGTCTGTTGATTGCAAAATGTTATACACAAAAAATGAGCATGTATTTACAAAACCCAACATCTCTATATATACACACACAATGAGCCGTGAAGGCGGCATCTGCTAATGAACCAGCCGTTACACTTGAGTGCACACCCACCCGCTCTGACTGGGTTCGGTATCCCGGCTGCTTCGTTTCGAAGGAGGTAAACCCAAGTACACAATATTGCACTTTTGATTTGCGATTATACGCTTATAATTTTGTTTATTTGTTTTTTCATAATCAGCAATGCATATTATATGTCATGAAGAAGTGATAATTGTGTTTTAATTATGTTTGATTTTTTTGGTTGCATGTGAACTTTAAGAGAGCTCAGTTGAGTTAGTGCTTAACACGTTTACTTCAAAGACATATAAGCCTAACAGGAAAGTATGTGTCATCATATTTACTTTAACAGGATTTAGACAAATGTATCATAATCCTCTGTAAATGTCTAACAAGCTGCTCACGCATGATGGTGGCTTACAGTGTGTGTAAACATTAAGTCTAACTCACATTGTGACTCATAAAAGTATGGCACCCCCAGCACGTTGAGGTATTGTTTCAGGGGGCTTGGATCGTACGCTGGGGTCTGGGGATCAACTGTCACAGCACCAAAGTCAAAGCGGATCCCCTGGAATTGAGAAACGTATTCATCTTACTTCAGGCTCCTGATAATCTGTCATGGTTTACATTTCCATTGAATTGTTTCCAGTCCACTCATCTTTTGGCATGCAAGACCTAGTTGTCAAAGGCATACCTTGCATCCCTTAGATGGCTCAAAATCCTCAGTCCATCTGTTTCCTTACCAAAAGCCTCAGTGCCACGCTTATGGGTTTCACCAAAGTGTCAATCATCTAAACTTAGCAGTAACACTTTAGACTTTCTTCCTACGTTAAGCTGGCATTTTGTTACAAACACACACACATTACTGAAAAACATTAATCTCTTTACCTCCCCTGTGACAGCCATTATTTTGTCCTTGTTTGCAACTTATCTTCTGCAATAAGCATAAGTACTCCACACACTTGCAGAAAGTACAGAGAGATTATGCAGTTCTTGCATGTTTTGTAAGATCGGATACAAGAGAGTTGCTCTCCACACAGGTGAATGGAGGAATGTTTTAAATGCAAGAAGAGAGCAACAACAAAGACCAGAACGTCAGCAACATAAGATAATCTGTTTCTGTTATCACTGTACCTGGCCCTTGCAGTAGAACTGGTACTGTCTGATGGTGTGCAGCAGTGACAGGGAGTCCTTGCCTCCAGACAGACACACAAGCAGACGGTCACCGTCACGGATCATGTTGTGTTCTTCAACAGCCTACAGAGAAATCAACCAAAGTATAAACATACGTACTCACAAAACACAAACACAATAATGCATCTCTTAGTGTTAGAGATCACAATCTGAGCATTATACATCCAATGGAGATTCTGGGTTTGTTAGAGACCTATGCTTGTCATTGAGTTGACCAAATGGATCTTGTGGTTCGACTGTAACATGACAAATAGCATGTCATCAGTATGTCCATGATTGTTCATGATATCATTTACTGGATCATCTGGTCCAGTCTCAATCATTTACCGATTGTCATGACATCTCTGATTTATTGCTGACTGTGACATTAACAAACAAACAAACAAACATACAAGCACATGAACAGCTTACCTTCACTGTTGCCTTGAATATTGTTTTAGGAGGAGAGAACCATTTACACTTGGGAGGTTCAGCCCCTTCTACACCCCCAACTGGGGCTGTCTTCTGTGGATGAGGGCAAACCAAGGGACAAACTGAGCCCTCCATTAACCCTTGTTGTTGACCATTTCCCTCAGAATCTTCACAGGTGACATCTGCGTCTTCTTGCAGGCTGGTATCTGACTTCACACATGATGGGATCGAGTGATTCAACTGTTTATTTTCACCTTCATTATTTTCTGTATTAGTCTCTCCAGACAAACTGGAACTCCTGGCTAGATGGGAGCCATCAATATGTGTACTTGGGACTATCACAGACATCGTTTCCTTATCACCTTCAGCAGCAGATGCTTCTATGAGGCTTCCTGTTGCTACAGAGTCTGATATTGCACCTGCTGCAGAATTGCTTTCTGCAGATGACTCAGGTTCATTATCCTTGACCAGATTCTCATTTACCTGATCACCTTCAAATCCCCTCTCTAAACATTCGACCATCCCTTCAGAAAATTCAGGAGTTATTTCACAATTAATATTGCCTTGACCTTCACATTCTAAAATATTTTCATCATCATCATCAAGTTCATCACTGCTAGGTTCCTCTCTGCCATTGGTCAATCCAAATCTGCTCTTCAGTGGTGGAGGTACAAAAGGCAGGTCAGAAACTGAGACCTGCATGACTGTGTTGCCACGGAGACAGTCCAGAGCTTCACTAGGCAGCATGAACCACCTGTATGGACGTGAGTGGTCATCAAACAGCAGTGTCTGGTCAGGCAACTGTCCTCTAGGCTGTAGAATGTTAACAATAAGCACTCATGAAGGATTTAACCTTCTACCAAAAATAAATATTACGATTTAAAAAACCATATATGCTCCCTTCAGTGCTTGCCCTTATTCATATTTTCCATAAAATCTGAGGCAACATGAAACAAAGGAGTATGATTTTTGTATATGCTACCTGTTTTAAAATACTATACTTTTCAATTATTACCATTTCTTGGCCCAATGGTTAAGAATGTTCTCAGCTTATCCAATTTATTATGAGTGAGTGAGTGAGTTTAGTATTACACCGCACTCAGCAATATTCCAGCTATATGGCAGCAGTCTGTAAATAATTGAGTCTGGACAAGACAATCCATTGATCAACAGCATGAGCATCGATCTGCGTAAATGGGAACCAATGACATGTGTCAACAAAGTCAGCGAGCCTGACAACCCGATCCCGTTAGTTGCCTCTTACGACAAGCATGGGTTACTGAAGATCAATATTCAAACCCGGACCTTAACGGGTCAATTTATAATGAGTGGGGAATGGGCAGTTTTCACTGTATATTTCTAACAATGAAATCACACAGACCTTTTCTGCTTGCTTGAAAACAGCACTGGCCTTTTCAAGACAGTCCTGAAATTGTGAAATATACACACTTCATATCTTATCTTTCCACCTAATTAAACTAAACTACAAGAAGTAATCCTCCAATATCCTGTTGGCAAAGGGAAGTCTGCACATTGTACTTTATTTTGGATCAAATTTCCTTATCACTATAACATAATACCTTGTATCCAGATGGCAGTGGTCCCTTCACAATAGGGGCCGGCACCTTGTACTTCATCTCCCCAGTCAAGTAGGAGATGTGTCCCAACCATTTCCGGTCTCGGAACACCTGGAAGTTCTTCTGTCTCCACTCACCGGTCTCCGGGTTGAAGATGTACTGAAACACACCCCAACCACATCAACATCAACACACTTTCAAAGATGCCTAGCGGTTAGAACAATCGAAAAAAAAACACATTATCAGACAATAAAGGTAGAGTTTTTTGATGACGTAACAATTGAACGATGTTATCCCGTCACTGCGCCATTCTAGTGTGCCCCCTGGTAATCAAACCATTTTACATTACGTCACAATGTAAGCGACGTCACGATGCATGTCAGTTGTCATCGCCTCGTACGGCCTCCTACAGTAAACTACACCGTTGCATCCAGTTTCTTGGTTTGCTGTTGCTTCACGCAGCTAACATCACTGGTGGAAACATTACGTTTATGTTTTACGACGGTTAAATGTGTCATTTTGACTCACAAGTTTTCAGCGACACGGTAGCGTTAAGTAATGTTTACATTCCCACAATGCAATTGTGGAATGTCGCTTGACTACTCAACTTCCTCTGGATGTACTGATCTAACCTTACGCTGGTAGTAGAAATGCAACGTTCATATTGCCCCATATGGTTTCGTTAATGACAGATGTAATTAAAATAATTCAGAGAAGATATTTAATCGAGCGTAAACCCGTCATCAAACTGTTATCATTTGTTTTTTCTGGTAACATTACCGTCTTAACGTAGGGGGCAGACACATCAATAGAACAACGCCAGTTAGCCATGTGCGAGGATTCTTAATTTAGGTCATCGACACCGTCGTTTGTTTTCTGACTTAAATTAATGCGTAATTATCTTTAGAAAGTATTAAATTTGGCATCTTAGAAAAGAAATACAGTTAGCCCTACCACCATGTATAGTGTAATAAAACACACTTTAAGCCCTGAACTATTATAGCGTTAAAGCACTTCGCGTCCTGCGCTAAGCGTCCCTAGTTCAGGGCAAAGTTTAACTATATAGTTCAGGCGTCATGTTCAGGGCAAAAGTGTGTTTTATTACACTATACATGGTGGTAGAGCGAAGTGTATTTCTTAAATAACATAGGAGCTGGATGGAATGGCATTTCATTTTCAGTTTGATGACAGCTCAAAGAGTTATGTTAAAGAAAGCAACAAAGAAAGCTGATTAGGGACATTTAGACCACTAGTTCCAATAAAAGTGTTAAAAATGTCAACAATTTCCAAGCTCTATAGTGTGATCTTTAATTCACTACTGACATAGTACTGTCCTTCACGTAGACACTGGGTTTGAGCGTATCTCTTCCACTGCTGCAATAACTGTATAACTCCATCTCAACAAATTGATGCTCAACAGAATCCATTGAAGGAAAAACAGGGTTTTATACACATTATAAGTTGTTCACTGGTCTCGAGGGGGAAATGTACCTTTAATGTTTGTTTATGTTCCCTGAGCCCGAGGGCAAGGGGAACATAAAGAAACATCGAGGGTACATCAACCCATGGGCCTTGAGGGACCAGTGAACAACGTTATTTATCTTACCGAATACCTCAATGGTAATTTTGAACTGTTTGAAGCACAGGTATCGGATCATAGTATGGAGTACCAGACGACATGACACCAAGAAAAACAAATTTAGAGTTATCTCCCTTCCATCGATATTGCATTCGCAAAACATCGGTAATTTCCGTACATCATACATGATTCAATGTTATTCGAGATAAAGACTTACTACTACGAAGTACCAAATGAGTTCGGCATTCCCAACGGGGTACATTGAAATGTTACTCGCTTGTAAGTGGGGTACATTGAAAAAAAATAGAAGAGCGCTCACTAATCAGCAAACGACATTTATGTGTGAGGCAAGATATTAACAATAATGTTGTGTCACAATGCCAGATAAAATGTCACCTTTGTGATATGTATGTCAACAGTGTTCACATAACAGAATTGAACATTGATTCTGTACCTTTCAATATTTGTCCATCTTTCTCACCATCTTTCATGTCATATCTTCATTTCTCTGTTTTCAGCCAGTCTCATTATATTTGTCTGCCCTACCACCCTATCATCCATGTCATTCCATACATCTCTTTCATCATCTCTGTTCTCTGTCCATCCTTCAGTCCTTCATCCACCGACCAGACTAGACTTACCTGAGGCAGCAGTTTCCAGGCATGGTCGGCCACCATCTTGACGGCCTCCAACACAAACTCCAAGCATGCATCATCCATGAAGTAAGGCAGGTTGAGGCGGGTGAAGCCAGGTCTGGGTAGACATGACACATCAACACGTCATTACTTCACTCCCACAACGCTTCAGTACTACTTATTGTAAAATGGGAAATTATTCATTATAAAAATTCAATTTTCCAGTGTCACAAGGTACCTCCCTGGAGCACCAGACATTATTGTTTTGTTATTGTTTAATGCTGCTCTCAGCAATATTCCAGCTAAATGACAGCCATCTGTAAATAATTGAGTCTGGACATGATAATCCACTGACTGGCATCATGATCATCAACCTGGGCATTGGTTTGTTGAAGCCCCATTCTAACCTGGATTTGCCAGGTCCTGGAGTAAATAGAACTGCAGCATACACACAGATATGTCAGTGGTTATAAATATCTGACTTGCTAAAACAGTGTTGAAATTCATGGAGAGTTTCATCCTGATGATGAGTGAGTGAGTGAGTTTAGTTTTACGCCGCACTCAGCAATATTCCAGCTATATGGCGGCAGTCTGTAAATAATCGAGTCTGGACCAGACAATCCAGTGATCAACCAATGACATGTGTCAACCAAGCCAGCGAGCCTGACCACCCGATCCCGTTAGTTGCCTCTTACGACAAGCATGGGTTACCGAAGGCTCATTCTAACCCGGACCTTTATGGGTTGTTCCTGATGATGAACAGATGTTGATGAGTTATAGCGTATTTTACTATTGTTCCCCAACACCATGTCCAATACAACCATTATCATTCATGCATGCAATTGCTGTGAAATTCATTCAAATATGTCAAGGACACAGACAATATATTTATTTATCATTTTTTTTTACACATGGAGTCAAATTTGTCAGAGCTTTTCTTTACTTATGAGGTCAACCAGTTATCATCCCCATTATAGAGAGGTGACTAAATGGGACTGTATTTTACCTCTGTATTTACAGATGGATCAAACCTGTTAATGATGTTAACAATGTATTGGTGTGTTTAGATATATCTATTATTCAATGTCTGGAGTTAAAAGTATACCAACACCTCAGTAAACGACTAAAACTCCTCAGAAGGTTTCAAATCATGATCGACTCATTTTGAAATATCTGATGTCAAAAGGCACTACAGTGAGAATATCATATATTGGTTAGTTATTGGGAGTTTTATAACAAGGTGTTTAAATGAAATTCACAGACATGAAATAATAAATAACACTGGAAGATGTGATACAACTAGTGTAAATGTTCTAAACATACCTCAGGATCTCTCTGTGGGAGTACTCCCGGTATCTCCTCAGATGTGTTCTGTCGAGTCGACTGGTGAACAAAGGAAGTATATATCATAATATCATGAACCACTGACTGTGTTTATATTCAGGACGGCAGAGGCAGACACCTATTGCAGACATATTTTCAAATTCAAAAGTCCACTTTCAAAGAGTGCCTTAGTGTTTTCAGACCAGTACACACATTTTTCTGCCTATTCTGATACTTCAATTATTGGTATTCTTTCCTGAAGGAGAGAAGTTCCATGATTGGCCAAATCAAAACCAAAATCAGCTGTCTGTGCAGACTTAAATCAACCTGCCCAAACTTATCTTCTGAGGATTTCAGATGAGGGGCAATAGTGACATATGGGCTTAAGGCAGCAGGGATCCAAAAAATGCCTCTCTTGGCAGTAACAACAACTAATTATCATGTGTATGCTGTTGTTACCTGTCTTCCACCAGAAGTTTCTCTATTGTCTCTGCAGTACCTTCTTCCAGACCAAGCAGATCCTAGTAAACAGTTGGCAGAATCACATGGTTATGAAGCAGTAGCAGGCGAGTATAAAACAAATTTCACAACAGATCTGTTGCAGACCATTTACAATTAGATTCCTTATTTACTGTAAACGTTTCCGCGGTTATTTTCGCAAACCATCTGGTGCAATTTTCCATGGCGAATTGACAGTTTTAGACTACATCGCATTATTTAATTATGTTTTGGGAATTCCATTCCAGCGACAGTTAAGTATGATCAGTCGTCATTTTAAGATTCCCGTTGATTTCTGTTTTCAAACGTGATGTGTTATGGTAACAACTCAGGGCCGAGCGTGGCTAGACTGAATGTATGACAGGTTTATTCGCGGTGTATAAATTTTCGCTAAAAATAAAACCTTGGCGAAAAAATATAAAACCTCTCGAAATATAACACGTTTACAGTATATCTTTAATAGCACCTAAACAACACTAACCCACGAAAGTTTCACCTCATTAGAAAACATTCCTGACCCCCAGATTAAGAGTGAGTGAGTTTAGTTCTACGCCGCTTTTAGCAATATTCCAGCAATATCACAGCACGGGACACCAGTAATAGGCTTTACACATTGTACCCATGTGGGGAATCGAACCCTGGTCTTCAGCGTGACGAGCGAACGCTTTAACCACTGGGCTACCCCACTGCCTCCCAGATTAAGATGAAATGCGACATAACTCATACTGTTCAAGGAGGCCTAAATAAATCTGAGCTAAACAACAAACAAACCCAACTAAATCCCCATACCCCGGTGTCTATATTGTACATTACAGGCTATACCTACCATAGCGTAGGGCCCTGCACAGGCACATCCCCCACGAGCCTGGATGCCAAACACATCGTTGAGGATGGTGCTCACGAAGTTGTGATGGAGGAATCGGCCGGTGGTGGGGTTGTAGACGAGGAAGGAGAAGATGGGAAGTCGAGTGACATCGTGGTTACCGAGGACGACAAGGTTGTCACATGATGAGAGGGACTCCACAGCTAGCCTGGAATATGGAAACATGATGAATGTTTAACTACAATCAATAATATACTGTAAATAATCAAGTCATGGGAGCACAAAGCAGCTGGTTGTTGAATGCCAAAAAAACAGGGCAACACAGCCACTATCAGAGCAAGATTGAACAGAATCAGGGTAAGATGATACACCATCAGGGCAAGATGGGCAAGATGATACACCATCAGGGCAAGATGATACACCATCAGGGCAAGATGGGCAAGATGATACACCATCAGGGCAAGATGATACACCATCAGGGCAAGATGATACACCATCAGGGCAAGATGATACACCATCAGGGCAAGATGGGCAAGATGATACATAATCAGGGCAAGATGATACACCATCAGGGCAAGATGATACACCATCAGGGCAAGATGATACACCATCAGGGCAAGATGATACACCATCAGGGCAAGATGATACACCATCAGGGCAAGATGATGACATCAGGGCAAAATGATACACCATGAGGGCAAGATGATACACCATCAAAGCAAGAAGATGATACACCATCAGGGCAAGATGATACACCATCAGGGCAAGATGATCATAATCAGACAGAATCAGGGGCAAGATGATACATAATCAGGGCACCTGCAGATTGATGACCTCACACCTCGTCTCCCCTCCCCAAGTCCTCCCACCCACCTGCACAGCTCTGTTCCCGCTTTGACGTCAATTACCTCCCACCCACCTGATGACCTCAGGTGTGACCCCCTCCCTCGTCTCCTCCTCCCCAAAGTCCTCCCACCCACCTGCACAGCTCCTGTTCCCGCTGCATGATGACCTCAGGGGTGATCGCCTCCTTCAGCTGGAACACCAGGCCAGCCCTGATGGACTCTACAATGGGGGGTGTCCCTCCCTCCTCCCTCATCTCCGGTTCCTGCAGGTAGCGGTGACTGTCTCTCCTAACCTGCATCACACCACATGGCACTGAGATAGTGCTTAGTTCACTCTTACTTTATTCCAGAACGATTTTCAAAGTAGAGCTATATTTTCTCCACAAATGGTAAGGGTTTTCTTTATTTTCTGTTACTGAAAGCAGATTGATAGACTGTGGTGAAGTGCTTTGAGGAATACAGGTCTATCATACCAAGCTCTTATTTGAAATGATGATTCTTCAAAACAGACTGAAATGCAAGCATTTGTCATTGTTTGCACTCACCATGTCTGCAAGTACTTACATAGAAGATGGAGCCCCCTCCCCCACCCTCAGGCACCACACTCTGGAACAGGCTCTTTTTTGCGACCAGCACACCTGCACAACACACCACGGGACTCCAGTTACTTCTTTCAGCCATTGTGTATTTACTCACATGCTATCATTCACTTTGGGTACTGATAGTTTTCTATGGGTACTGAAAATATCTACACTCCCATATATTCACATTGTTTCAGAGGACTTTGAATTCTATCTATCGATATGATACCTTCAGTGTTTCACATACCTCATACGATCTATATCTATAAAAAATTAGCAAGATATCCCACTATTTTGCACTATTCACTAGTAGATTTCATGTATATATACATATATTATGCCTGCATTCAATCAGTATAAAGACATATCACAAGGTATTATTATGTACAGAATTGGTCTTCATTAACCCATTCTTGTTGTAAGAGGCGACTAACGGGATCGGGTGGTCAAGCTCGCTCGTCATTGTATCCCAAATGCGTAGAACAATGCTCATGATGTTGATCACTGGATTGTCTGGTCCAGACTCGATTATTTACAGACCGCCATCAAATAGCTGGAATATTGCTGAGTGCGGCATAAAACTAAACTCACTCACTCACTATTATGCACAATGGTGTTACACTATAGATTTTGTAACTGTTTCATGTATATTTGTATACAAGCAAACCAAAACAGATTTGGTTACTGTCATTACTATGCATATTTTACAGAAATACACAGCCTATGTGGAATTCTGACACCATCAATACTGTTTTGGTGATTTTCAACACCAGAGTATCCACCAAGTACACAACCCAGGTCTGATTAGTTGCAGGGAAGATTGAACAAAAATCTGCGAAATCTTTACTATATTTCAAATGTCAGTGTTTCAGTCACTTTAACAAAAAACATGTCAAACTCTCTTCTCACCAGGTGTGGCAGCCCCTCCCACAAACTTGTGGGGTGAAATAAACACTGCATCCTTGTACACAAAAGGCTGGTCACTCCTGTATGGAAAATAAACAGAACATCTGAACATAACATGAAAACATTGTCTGTCGAGAACATGAAAACATTGTCTGTTGAGAACATGAAAACATTGTCTGTCGAGGGATGAATATGAATATGTCTACTTCATGTGAGAACATTCGCAAAACATCCAACTTTGTGAGTCAATCTTATTATGTGCCCCTCATCAACAATCTCCATACAGCCTCTTAACATAATAACATAACAATCAAGTCTGGCACAGGCAAACCACTTGTTGATCATGTTGATGTAACAAGCAGTGTCTGATATAGGTTCTACTACCGGTATCGGCTACATCACGAATATAACTAAACACCCAGAAGTTGTAGGCCCAGGTAGACATTTATTTGTCACATTTCTCAGATTGACTTTACTCTTGCCTTCATCAACAGATTCATAACAAGGGAAAATCTTGTTCTTAGCTAAATCAGTCACATATCAATGTATGATTCAAACTGTCAGTGTAGCAGTGGAGTAAAAAATAAAAATCAACCTATCCCAACAGAAATTATAGCCACATGGCTGCAGGCAGCTAACTGTATTCAACAGTGGGAAAAGACATAGCAGTAATTAGTTCTGTCACACTGTAACTGTACATCTTTACTTTAGTCTGCTCTACTTACAAGGCAGGATAACTGTCAATAAGAAAAATATGTAAAAGTGATACCAGATTGTAAAGTTAAATTTGGATCATTAAAACAATCTGAGAAAATCATTAGGACACTTGCCACTACAGCTAAAACCTTCGGCAACTAAATCCACTCATACTCAACAGTTCAACTCCTAGGTTATAAAACTTTCAGTCAGTCAGTCAGTGCATTACATACCCTGGAACTACCGGGTTCATGTCTATCCGGACGTCGGCTGGCCGTTGTGTGGCGTAGTCCCAGAAAGCAAGTGCTCCATGCTTGTGTAGGCAGATGGTGATACGGTTGACATCCGTCAAGATGCCAGTTATATTGGATGCAGCTGAGAAACAGCCAATGAGTTGTCTCCCTTTGCTCTTCCATTTCTGTCACAGAATCAGGAAAAGGGAATAACAAACTGGCAAAATCCCAGGTATATGATGATAGTCTGTAAATAATCAAGTCTGGAGTGGATTATTCACTGAGTGAGGAACATGTCATGCATTGGCATAGCAACAAGTGCTGGACATATATGTAATTTGTAAATACTCAATTTCTTAAGAAATCCAAGAAAGAAATTTATAGTTTTTATGGGCATTCAATATAAGTTTACTCCTTTGGACACCGTCAACTGAGCATATTTACACCAATGACTGAACAAGTTTTCTTTGATAATTCAGCTTATCATGCTGTTTCGGTTGACTTCTTGTTGTCTGTCTATCCCAAGTGTGTAGTATGTCTTGTCAACTCACAACAAAGATAAATATGTCTTTTAACAAAATGTGAGACAAAGCTTTTGTTTTATGTACTATTCACTGATAACATCAGATGGAGAATTAATGAAATAGAGGTATGTTAGTTGAAAAGGGCACTCTTTATGTGTATTTCTATGTAAAAAGTCAAAATCAATTGTCTATGTAGATGTGCTTCATGTATTTCACACAAATATGCAGCTTATCCGAATCAGTGGAGAGAAGAAGTGACTACCTTGAGCTGATTCTCCAAATGCCTGCAGTCAACCAGCCCTGATCCAGTCAGTTTTATTCTCACAATCTGTCGGGAACACAAGGCATCAGTACAGACATACCTGATGGAGAGGTACTACTGGATGAACAACTTACAATATGAACTAGAGCTTACTATCACCTGGTATCTTGAATAAAACATGTATTACAATATGGATTGATGATACCACTGTCAAGATACACCATTATCAATATTAAAAAATGATGAAATCATTTTAATGCAACTATAAGACGTCATTCTTGAAATGTTTACTTATTATTATCTAAACAAAAGACCTTGGATAGTCAGCTGGCACGTCCATGACAAGTAGTGAGTACCTGTTGTTCAAATGCACTGTAACATGCTGTTAACTGAACTGAAGGTTTGGCCTCACCTCAGCGCCAGTCTCCTTCCAAGGCAGGAGGATGGAATGATGCTCGTAGGGGCCGACAAACACCACCTGGAGGAGAGGTACATCTCATCACATACAATAATAATAATAAATGGATATTTCTTGTGCACCATAGTCCATCCAGAGCATGCTCAAAGCGCTAGATATAAAAGAGTCACTAGAGTTCATGAGGAAGGACTGTCAGAATATTTGGCAGTTATAGATTGTAGACTTTTTTTAAGAGGAAGGTTCTAAGGATGAAGCATATTTTATGAGAGAAGGAAGACTGTTCCACAGATTCGATGCTGCAAATTTGAAAGATGTATGGCCAAAGTGTTTGAGATGAACTTGGGGAACTGTGAGAAGATTACATACAGCCAGGTAGTAGCACCAGCATAATAAGCACAATAATAATGATAATGAAAGCCAATATTAACATTTATGGAAAGAAACAGACAACTCCCCTTCAGCTTAATTCTGTTCTTATTTAACATGTTTAACCCTTATCAAGTATCCTATAACACCAATGTCACAAATTATTTGTCAAAACCAAAATAAGAGAATCCTTAACAAAATTTATTAAAGTATTTGGTCCCGATCCACAAAGCGTTCGGAGCACTACATCATTCGGAAGCCTATGATAAACTATAGAGTCGTAACGTTACGAATGCTTTGTGGTTCGGGGCCCTGGACCAACATCCCTGCCCTTTTTTTTATCACATTCCTTCAAATCATATGTTTTCCTGTTGATACTCCTTCTGAAACCATTATGTTTTGAGTTGGCTAAAGTCCCGCTGATAACCCCTGGATCACAAATCAACTCACAGGTGGTTTCTGAAGGTTCAGTGCATGGATGAGTTTGTGTACAGCCCCTGTACAACCACTGCCAACAAATATTACAGAGTCGTGTTCACTCGCATGAACGGCATTCCGGATGATGTCCCTGAATGTGAAAGTTAATCATGTCATTATGTATCACAATATCAATGTCTCAATATATGAACAACATACTGTCTCCACATTGGGGCAAACATACATTCCCAGTTACAGTATCAGTCCGGCAGCTTCAGAGGAGGCCAGCATGCAACATGCGAAAACCATAAAGGTATTTAACGTAACATCATGGCCAATATTAACAATATTTCAAACACGATATACATACACTTCACTTCAAAATAACTAGCAAAAGAGCATATTGTAACATTTTGAAAAAAAGACACCCCAGTAATGATCATCTGGGTAATTTGTCAGTATGACTGAGCCTGCTGTAACAGTCACGTGGGAACAAGCACACCAAATACAGCAACATTGGTCCTAAAGTTTCCTTGGACAGAGGTACAGATAAACTGTGTATCTGTGCAAATTGCACAAATATTTATGTGAAAACTCAATTCCTATTAAGTCTGTTGCATACAAGTACGTTTGAATTTTTGTAAATACTCAATAAATGCAATCATACATGCATACACACAAAAATGTCAAATCTTATAGCTTGCATATGTGTGGATAGATAAAATAACTGAGGTATATTGAGAGGTTCTATTTCAGGACATGAACTGGACAACTTGCAGTCTTTCTTATTGTTTTTATATTACAGATCAAATATAAATAACAAACACTAACATTTAAACTTTATTATATTTTAAAATTAATGGAAAATGGCAAAATACCCAATTGAGTTTGAGTGAGGTGAGTAAAATTTATTTGGTTACTCAAAGGAAAATTAGGATACCCAATTGAGATGAAGACAAGCGAGTACATAACTCAATGACCCAAAATGAGTAGAAGGAAAAATAATATGTAACAGGGTCTATGAGACAGATTAGGGATGAATATATGCGACAACAATGTAAAGCCCTCCAAGCCTTACCTGGCCTCATGCCTGTAGAGTGTAGTCTGGAGTGATGTGACGCTGGTGGTCGTGTGAGTGTTGCCATACTCTGGAAGAACCTCATTCCTGATGTAATCCTCTATGAAAGACAAAGCTCTGGAACAAGACACACAAAAATAGTGATTGAGATGCACATATATACCATGGCACCTGTTCTGCAAACTGATCTTCATGATCAGAGTTTCTTAAGTCTGTGTAATAGTATTAGGAGTTACAATCATCTTGAAACAAAGAATAAGATCGCTTTCTAGAAGCTAGTTCTACTGAGGCTGATTGTAGCCTAGGGGCTGGTCTAAGTTTGAACAAGTGTTTGTGGGGGTTGGAGTATTACTATATGGAGTGTCCTTGTAACTTTTCAGGCTGTCTACTTTCAGACTAAACTGAATCCCTGCAAAACTGGCAGTCCTAGCAAGTTCTATTCAAACTTAGCAAATGTAACTTTTGATATCACTTCCAATTTCTGGACATCCACAAATCTGAAAACACATATTGTCAATGTTCATCTCCATGTTCTCGTTTCTTCTGACTGCAAGAACTCCTATTGCTGGAACTCTTGGGACCTTAGCAATTTTTTAAACATAGTTCACGTTATATTTTAACAAGTTCAAACTGGAGATGGTCCATTTCAGATGTCAAACCTACAAATCTGATGTGATATTCTTTACCACGTTTGTAACATTGACAGGTATCAAAATGCTTACACACAAGCATCCATTATCAAACATGACCAACAGATTCATTTATATGCCTCTTGTGACAAGCTTTAGTTCGTGCAGACTTATTCAAACCAGGAATCGCCATAGATTTGTAATTCTTGACACTTACCTCCCTGATGCTATGAAGTCAAGATAGGTCACTGAAAAGAGAAAAAGACACACTTTGCAGAACACAGACTTATGGAAAACATTGAAATGTTTGATGTGGATGTCTACTGAACAATGTAACATTCATCACTTACCAATCGATAAGTATTGCGATACTCTGATCGAAAACCGGTATTTCAACATGCATTCGAAAATTTCGTACCACTCGAAAATCTTCGGATATTCGGTTTGAAGTTTTGTTCTGAGTTTGGTTCAAGTATTCCGCAATGTTTTGGATCTGAAGCATAGTGATTTTGTTCTGTTTTTGCTTATAAATCAAGCATTAACTTGATTATCAATAGTTTTTGATAGAAAAACAATTCTTGCAATATATTGCAATACATCTCCCAATATATGCTTTCGCATTGCAATATATCGCAATATGAAAAGTCTCTGCAATACCCACCCCTATTCATCACTGAAATCACCAGTCCCCTATTCATCACTGAAATCACCAGTCCCCTATTCATCACTGAAATCACCAGTCCCCTATTCATCACTAAAATCACCAGTCCCCTATTCATCACTAAAATCACCAGTAGCAGAGAGCAACCAGCCAATGTAATGACCATAAAACTTCCAAGTCCCATGCTTAGATTCAAACCACAGACTTTCTGATCTGAAGTCTGACACCTTGTCCCCATGACCAAAGAGGTTATTTCTGTATGTTTGCTCGCGGACACGTGTCAACCAAGTCAGCGAGCCTTACCACCCAATCCCGTCAGTCGCCTCTTACAACAAGCATGGGTTGCTGGAGATGATTCTAACCCGGATCTTCACGGGTCACCAAAGAGGTTAACCCCATCAGCAAGCTTGACAAGGAAAGGATGTCATCTGTGGGACAACTCCGTGCCTGCTAACCATCCCCATCTTGCAGTTTAATGCCCAATCCACTGTTTTATGCTGTGAGCAATATTCTGGATATTAGCAAGAAAACCAACGGCCATGTTAGTGGGATGCCAAATAATCTGATAAGTCAGAGAGCCTGAGCATATCATCCTCATCTCGATCAGCTTAAACAACAAACATGAGGTATTGGGGATCTATTTTGACCAGGAATATCCTCAGAGTCAGATATTACTCTCCTCATTAGTGGGAGAGCAGGCAGTTTAATCAGTTGATGGGTAAACAGTATGCCTTCACTGATCATTGTGTACAACACCTGAACCCATTATGAATAGATGATCAACTTGCAGCTGCATGCTCACCTGTGGTTATTGCCACCAATTACCAATAGTGAAAATGACTATGGAAAATGGAAAATGGAAAAAATATCGATTGTATTGAAGGTTTTTGATCAGCTGGTTTTGGACATTGGCCAGCTGTTGACATATCGTCATAAATATTCCCATGCCTTTTTCCAATAATGATATAATTTCCTCTTGAGTTAATATACTGGAAATGTATTGGCAGTTGCCCCTACCAAAATCACAGAGTGAGTGTGTGAATTTAGTCTTACGCCACACTTTGCAATATTCCAGCTATATGACGGCGGTCTGTAAATAATCGAGTCTGGACCAGACACTCCAGTGATCACAAGCATGAGCATCGTTCTACGCAACTGAGACTCGATACCAAAATCCCAGAAGTTTCTAATAGGGATGTGTGTCTTTAATCCACAAATACTTGTTTTGAATAAGTCATACATAAAAATGACGATCACATTAATGTGGTGCCATTTTGAGATGATAAATGTGGAATAACACATAGGCTTTTCTTCTGAAAGCCTTACAGTGTCACGAACTTACCTTCCCGTAGGCCAAACGGGCCGCTAAATACTTTGTTCCTCCCGATGACACTGTTTCTGACTGTATCTAAGAGTTTGGCACAGTTAATGGAACTGTCACTGACCCAAGCCACATCGCCAGACTCTCGATCAGACTTTGGGATAGAGTAAAACAGTCGATCTGCAGGCTGCATTTCCTTCTCACGTGTGACCACGAAGTAAACAAAATATGGACTGGGTTCCAGTCTGTAGTCGGTGCGCTTTCCAAAGGTGTTGCAAGTTTACCGAGGTAAACTGGACCCCGTCTCGCATGTCGCAAGGTGGCGCGCGCAAAGGGAGCCACATTAGTGCAAATTAGATGCTTGATTGGCATTTTAGAAGATGATATTTGATGAACATAGAGATTTTTTTCTGGGTTACATCTTCTTTTTATTCTGATATTCTATGTTCACATTAGTGCACAAAGTGTTAAGCTGGGCCCCGTCTCGCATATCGCAATATAAATGGCAGCCTATACCGGCTCCTAGTTTTGGTGAACGTTAGCGCGCGCAAAGGGAGCCAGGAACCACCTTACACTGTGTATGGAAATTAGTATGGTTGGCCAGCCCTAGAGCGCTTGCGCTCATCTCGCCTCACTTATCGACGATGACGCGGAGTGTGCGCACGAATAATCTCGACATTATTGACATCGCAACGGACCACGTATTGGTTTTTCCAAAGACGTATATACATGCAATATATATGAATAGACGTCCTTGGTTTTTCTTGTGGTCTAAGGGAGATAATCGTGTTTGTAAAGAATTAACTCCCTTAAGCTAACTCCACACAATGTCTCTCTTAAAACTTAACACATCGCGTGTGCGTTTAATCAAAGGGAGACAACCGCGTACAACTGAATCAAGAGTTATGTCCCTTTCGTTAACTCCGTACAGCGACCTTTTTAAAACTTCACACACTGCCGCCCACCAAAGGGAGATAACTGCCTAAAAAACAAATCAAGAGTTATGTCCCTTTAGTGAACTCCGCACAGTGACCTTCTTAAAACTTCACACACTGCCACCTACCAAAGGGAAATAACCACTACAACAAATCAAGAGTTGTGTCCCAAAGGGAAGTAAATCTGTATAGTAAATTGTAAACAGTACGCAAAGTTACTTCCCTTTGACCACGAATGGCGCGGCTCCTCAAATCAACATTGTAGTGTAAACAGAACTTTGGGTTACTTCCCTTTGACCATGGAATATATCTGGCACGGTTCTAAAGAAGGTCGTGGTAAAATTCGAATTTTATATTGGTACGTTCCAATGACTGGCCATCGGCTGACTGCTTGTAGTGCTCCATGCCACGTTTAACAAAACGGCTAAGTCTAAAACATATGTTGTATACTATTAATAATAAAATTAATATAAGACCCCGTTAGTGACAGTACATACACTGATAGCAGTTTTTAGCGTTACAAGCCCCTGTGAGATAATGGTTATTTCATTCACAACGTGTTATGAATTTCATGCAAAGATAAGAATTTCGTGCTGGCGTGTTTCATTGTAATTTGTATACCCTTGAACAAGGTCGTGGTAAAATTTGAAATTAATATTGGAACGTTCATATTGGAACGTTCTAATGTGCAGCAGTAAACCAAACTCAAAATTCTTCTGATGTTCTTTTAAACTCAAACGTATTTTGACAGTTTTTTGTTGCACAAACTCTTATTGTTGTATAGTATCTGGAATATTGCTGAGTGTGGCATTATACAATGAACAAACAAATACTTCATAAATTTGCCCATTTTACATTTACATGGACAAAATGTGTTCAGAATGGAACTTAATCCATGTGGAACTACTCTTGGTTGACATAAGCTAGAATATTAACCATATCAAAGCGGGAGCATTGAAGCAGTAGACGATAGTGATAGCACTAGCTTGGGTGTACAATGTCATTACTCATTCAGCTAGCTGGCAGCTAAGAGATAACCTTTCAGTCAACCTGTCAAGTGTCTTGTATGTCCATTATATTATTTTGAATTTCTTGAACCAATTCTCTTCGTATTATTCTTTCAGGCACCAATTGTCTGGAGCAACCTTCTGTTTCCCAGCTTCCCATGCACATGTTGTAATGTGTCTGATGGAGCAACCTTCTGTTTCCCAGCTTCCCATGCACATGTTGTAATGTGTCTGATGGAGCAACCTTCTGTTTCACAGCTTCCCATGCACATGTTGTAATGTGTCTGATGGAGCAACCTTCTGTTTCCCAGCTTCCCATGCACATGTTGTAATGTGTCTGATGGAGCAACCTTCTGTTTCACAGCTTCCCATGCACATGTTGTAATGTGTCTGATGGAGCAACCTTCTGTTTCCCAGCTTCCCATGCACATGTTGTAATGTGTCTGATGGAGCAACCTTCTGTTTCACAGCTTCCCATGCACATGTTGTAATGTGTCTGATGGAGCAACCTTCTGTTTCCCAGCTTCCCATGCACACGTTGTAATGTGTCTGATGGAGCAACCTTCTGTTTCCCAGCTTCCCATGCACATGTTGTAATGTGTCTGATGGAGCAACCTTCTGTTTCCCAGCTTCCCATGCACATGTTGTAATGTGTCTGATGGAGCAACCTTCTGTTCCCAGCTTCCCATGCACATGTTCTGATGTAATGTGTTGTAATGTGTCTGATGGAGCAACCTTCTGTTTCCCAGCTTCCCATGCACACGTTGTAATGTGTCTGATGGAGCAACCTTCTGTTTCCCAGCTTCCCATGCACATGTTGTAATGTGTCTGATGGAGCAACCTTCTGTTTCCCAGCTTCCCATGCACATGTTGTAATGTGTCTGATGGAGCAACCTTCTGTTTCCCAGCTTCCCATGCACATGTTGTAATGTGTCTGATGGAGCAACCTTCTGTTTCCCAGCTTCCCATGCACATGTTGTAATGTGTCTGATGGAGCAACCTTCTGTTTCCCAGCTTCCCATGCACACGTTGTAATGTGTCTGATGGAGCAACCTTCTGTTTCCCAGCTTCCCATGCACACGTTGTAATGTGTCTGATGGAGCAACCTTCTGTTTCCCAGCTTCCCATGCACACGTTGTAATGTGTCTGATGGAGCAACCTTCTGTTTCCCAGCTTCCCATGCACACGTTGTAATGTGTCTGATGGAGCAACCTTCTGTTTCCCAGCTTCCCATGCACATGTTGTAATGTGTCTGATGGAGCAACCTTCTGTTTCCCAGCTTCCCATGCACATGTTGTAATGTGTCTGATGGAGCAACCTTCTTTCCCAGTTTCCCAGCTTCCCATGCACATGTTGTAATGTGTCTGATGGAGCAACCTTCTGTTTCCCAGCTTCCCATGCACATGTTGTAATGTGTCTGATGGAGCAACCTTCTGTTTCCCAGCTTCCCATGCACATGTTGTAATGTGTCTGATGGAGCAACCTTCTGTTTCCCAGCTTCCCATGCACATGTTGTAATGTGTCTGATGGAGCAACCTTCTGTTTCCCAGCTTCCCATGCACATGTTGTAATGTGTCTGATGGAGCAACCTTCTGTTTCCCCAGCTTCCCATGCACATGTTGTAATGTGTCTGATGGAGCAACCTTCTGTTTCCCAACTTCCCATGCACACGTTGTAATGTGTCTGATGGAGCAACCTTCTGTTTCCCAGCTTCCCATGCACATGTTGTAATGTGTCTGATGGAGCAACCTTCTGTTTCCCAGCTTCCCATGCACATGTTGTAATGTGTCTGATGGAGCAACCTTCTGTTTCCCAGCTTCCCATGCACATGTTGTAATGTGTCTGATGGAGCAACCTTCTGTTTCCCAGCTTCCCATGCACACGTTGTAATGTGTCTGATGGAGCAACCTTCTGTTTCCCAGCTTCCCATGCACACGTTGTAATGTGTCTGATGGAGCAACCTTCTGTTTCCCAGCTTCCCATGCACATGTTGTAATGTGTCTGATGGAGCAACCTTCTGTTTCCCAGCTTCCCATGCACATGTTGTAATGTGTCTGATGGAGCAACCTTCTGTTTCCCAGCTTCCCATGCACATGTTGTAATGTGTCTGATGGAGCAACCTTCTGTTTCCCAGCTTCCCATGCACATGTTGTAATGTGTCTGATGGAGCAACCTTCTGTTTCCCAGCTTCCCATGCACATGTTGTAATGTGTCTGATGGAGCAACCTTCTGTTTCCCAGCTTCCCATGCACACGTTGTAATGTGTCTGATGGAGCAACCTTCTGTTTCCCAGCTTCCCATGCACACGTTGTAATGTGTCTGATGGAGCAACCTTCTGTTTCCCAACTTCCCATGCACATGTTGTAATGTGTCTGATGGAGCAACCTTCTGTTTCCCAACTTCCCATGCACATGTTGTAATGTGTCTGATGGAGCAACCTTCTGTTTCCCAACTTCCCATGCACACGTTGTAATGTGTCTGATGGAGCAACCTTCTGTTTCCCAGCTTCCCATGCACACGTTGTAATGTGTCTGATGGAGCAACCTTCTGTTTCCCAGCTTCCCATGCACATGTTGTAATGTGTCTGATGGAGCAACCTTCTGTTTCCCAGCTTCCCATGCACATGTTGTAATGTGTCTGATGGAGCAACCTTCTGTTTCCCAGCTTCCCATGCACACGTTGTAATGTGTCTGATGGAGCAACCTTCTGTTTCCCAGCTTCCCATGCACATGTTGTAATGTGTCTGATGGAGCAACCTTCTGTTTCCCAGCTTCCCATGCACATGTTGTAATGTGTCTGATGGAGCAACCTTCTGTTTCCCAACTTCCCATGCACATGTTGTAATGTGTCTGATGGAGCAACCTTCTGTTTCCCAGCTTCCCATGCACATGTTGTAATGTGTCTGATGGAGCAACCTTCTGTTTCCCAGCTTCCCATGCACATGTTGTAATGTGTCTGATGGAGCAACCTTCTGTTTCCCAGCTTCCCATGCACACGTTGTAATGTGTCTGATGGAGCAACCTTCTGTTTCCCAGCTTCCCATGCACATGTTGTAATGTGTCTGATGGAGCAACCTTCTGTTTCCCAGCTTCCCATGCACACGTTGTAATGTGTCTGATGGAGCAACCTTCTGTTTCCCAGCTTCCCATGCACACGTTGTAATGTGTCTGATGGAGCAACCTTCTGTTTCCCAGCTTCCCATGCACATGTTGTAATGTGTCTGATGGAGCAACCTTCTGTTTCCCAGCTTCCCATGCACACGTTGTAATGTGTCTGATGGAGCAACCTTCTGTTTCCCAGCTTCCCATGCACACGTTGTAATGTGTCTGATGGAGCAACCTTCTGTTTCCCAGCTTCCCATGCACACGTTGTAATGTGTCTGATGGAGCAACCTTCTGTTTCCCAGCTTCCCATGCACACGTTGTAATGTGTCTGATGGAGCAACCTTCTGTTTCCCAGCTTCCCATGCACACGTTGTAATGTGTCTGATGGAGCAACCTTCTGTTTCCCAGCTTCCCATGCACATGTTGTAATGTGTCTGATGGAGCAACCTTCTGTTTCCCAGCTTCCCATGCACATGTTGTAATGTGTCTCATGGGATGAGTTGGATTATTTTAGTTTCATCACAAAAGTAGCAGGCTCAAAACATGATAAACGAATCCTGGGTACACTGAATGCATAAAATGACCTTTGTGCCATGACAATCATGAATCACAACTGCCATACCGCAACTGGGCCCATGGTGTTTATAATGATATTTTAGCATGTTGAGGCATCACAGGCCTTATCGGTCAGAGTGTGTAATAGGGCTGGGACGAGTCCAAATGTTCTACCAAGGTACCCCATCCCCTCTTACCCTACCCTACCCTACCCAGATACCCTTTATATTAATTCCTGACAACAAATTTGTAAGAAATGGCAATATACTCTTCAGCTCGAAGGCTATAATTTCAAGTTTTTCAGTATCTTAACCATTACCTACCCATCCCGGGTATCCGGGTACCCATCCCACCCCTTCTGTGTAGTATATTTCTGTGATATGCACAACATTGCCCGGGTATCCGGGTACCCATCCCACCCCTTCTGTGTAGTATATATCTGTGATATACACAACATTGCCCGGGTATCTGGTTACCCATCCCACCCCTTCTGTGTAGTATATATCTGTGATATGCACAACATTGCTGTACAGTAGGTGACAGCCTTGATGCCTTGACAGTGAGTGACTTTACACAGAGGTAGCTGCATGCAAATAGCCAGTATCAGTGAAGGCATAATGTGACTAGGTGATGTCTGAGTTGTGTTGAGGGAACTCTATTTCACAGTAGACTCTGTGTAGTCTGACACAGTTCAAGGGGACAATGTACAAATGACAGAACATGAATTATATCAATAAAGTTTATGACAGTACTAAATAAGCTTTTGTGTCTGTGGTCAGGTGCTAACAAAGCACAACATTGCACTAGATACTCAATAATGGCAATTGCGGAAGACAAGGTTGACAAAACAGCAAAATGGGCAGATATCATCTTTCATACACAAAATTTCTGGAGCTTTACAATGATCACAGCTCTGCATATTGTGAGATACTTGGCCTTCAATAAATAAAGACGTGCACATTTTATCAATATCAATATCATGACACCAATGCTAATTGGTTGTACAGAAACCAGCAGATATTTCAAGGGGACAACAAAAAGTGTTTGATTTTTTCAGGTAGATTCAATGTTTTGACTTTCCTGACTGGCACCAAACTGAGAATCTGAAGCTTACAGAACCGCTGAAGACTGAACATGCCTGGAACGGTCCACACACGAACCAAGCCATCACATACACTGGACGCCAGCAGAGTCCCACTCCAGTTAAAGCTCAGCCTCATGATCGCCAGGCTGGTGTGACATGGTACATTAGTTTGGAGCTTCTCATCTCCATCCTTTACATCTATCACATGTAGCAGTTCCTCCGTATCGGGATCAAAGATCCTGATATCCAAAGTCTCGTACCCAACTGCCAACATTGTCCCTTGGTTATTGTACTGAATACAGTTTATTGGCATTCGAGCATTCCCCTCATTAATTGTTTGTAAAATTTCACAACTTTTACATCAATAATATATATACAATCATCAGTAGAAGCTACAGCCAGTTTGCAGCGATCTGGTCGGGGATCAAAGTCAAAGCTACAGGCGGAACTGATTGGATCTTCTAGTAGATCAGGACACACAGTACAGATGTTCTTCTGACTGTTCTTATCCAGAACAAACAGTTTCCCTGAACCAGCACAATATAAACCCACAGCGAGAAAATGGCTGTCTGGAGACCATCTACACTCAACCTTGTCACTGAAGAACCGGTCGCCTACAAAACCAGGGCAAAGTAAGTGGCACTTCAGATCTTCTCCTTGCATTATCCCAAAGTTGTTGAAGTTATTCATTCGGATGAAATAAAAGTTCTGGCCTCGGAAAATAGTTGCAAGATTTATCCCATTAGGTGCAATGGCAAAATATTTACAGCTGCCTCCAACAAAAGACGCTGGTTGTTCATATACATGCTCATTATTTAATCCAATGACCTTGACCCCTGCAGAGCTTGGAATGTATGCGATATACTCTCCTATAGGGTGAGGTTGAATTGTTGGATGTGTAGAACTTGATATCCCCTTGAAGTGAACACAGCCTGGAAAACATTAAAATAATGTAAGGTCAAGGTTACAATTTGAACTCAAATTTGAATTTGACAGAGCATTATAAGACATTAATTATATATTTCAATACTAAACTTGGGAAAGAAGCGTACATTTCGTTTAATGGCTACACAATAAAATTTCTTGACACAAACCTATGGGTTTTCTGCCGATGTCATACAAGAAAATCTTTCCTGCTGGCATCTTTGAGGCCACAAGCCAGGGACGGTTGACCCGAAATGTGTAGGGGGTGGTGGTGACGGCCAGGTGACGGTCATTGTAAGGCAGGAACTGGGCACTGGTCCACCAGATGGTGTCAGCAGTCACTGTACCTCTTGCTGAATAGTAGACAACATGCAAAATCAACTCGGTAATATATTTGGTTTACGGATTGACTGACTTATACTGAATAAAGTGTACAATAAATAAAGTATATTGTGGAAACAGTATGCAATTAGAAAAACATAATTCTAAAACTTGGGGATTCAAAAATTAATGAGTGAAATGTCTTGTTTGATATTGAAAATATTCAATCATATAAATAACTGAACGATGGTTGATAGTAGTGTAAATATTTATCTGATTAATGATGACAGCAAGAATATTGATTTTTGATCAGTGAAACCCTAGTAAGCACCAACATGGTGGAGTGCCCCTTTCTGCATCAGCATCTTCATCTGGATCACTGTACAGAAATATCAGTGCATTTATACGTACCCAGAACTGGTGGCAGGGCCTTGAAGGACGCCACCAAGCCTTGTTTTGTCTGGGCGTGGACACCAGGTGGACAGGGTCTGAAGGGCACACACGGGTAACACTTCTCGTTGCTTTTCTGGCAGGCAAGCAGGGACTGTAAGGACGAAGGTGCCACCCCCATTGCTGTTTACATGCCTTCCTGTGGACATGAACACACTTACTGGAGTTTGGCTGGTGTTGGGATTTATGGTTTCAGGACCCAGGATGGGGAAAATATTCACTGTCAACAATATCATTGACCATCCAGCAGATGCTGTGATAAATAGCGTAGCTATATAGATCCACAGTTGGATGCCATGTTCAGAAATAATATCAATAAGGATTTTAACAGTCCACGAGGTACAGTAGGGATTATTACAATGCCACACACTTACACCTGTACAAAAGGTTGATTGTGTTTAACGCCACACCCCGCAATATTCCAGATATATGGCTGCAGTCTGTAAAGAATTGAGTCTGGACAAGACAATCCAGTGATCAACAGCATAAGCAATTGGGATACAATGACGTGCCAACCAAGTTAGTGAGCCTGACCACCCCATCCCATTGGCCGCCTTTTACGACAAGCATGGGTTACTGAAGTCTCCATTGTAGTACAGGGGCTTGTAATGGGAAAAACCTAGTATCAATGCATATATATTGTCCCTGCCAGAGTTTCCACTGCACAACAGACTTTTATCTTGTGGTAAGTCCCCAGCAGTGACAATATATGTTATAGTTCATATGAATACACTCATATTCCAGCCAAGGCCTACATCGAGCACACATAGTGTAGTCCAGCATATAACTAGATATAAGGTGTGCTCAAAGTCATTGCCTGAATACGATATGAACTGGACTATATATCATCTAGTCATATGCTATATATGTTAATGCTAGTCATTTTCGTTAGAAATTCCTGTGCATTGTATACTATATTGATAATATTTTGTTAATTAACATGCTCAAACAAATCACTGCAAACACTCTTTCATTTTAATTCTGGTCATATTTTCATCAAAGTTATTTATATCATTAAAATATAAACTGAACGTTCAATAATAAATGCCAAATAAATGGTTCTGCTCAAACAGATCTAGATATACCTTCTTGTTCATAATGTAAACAATGGTTTGCGCTGTATGTAAACAAAACATAACGTCCTTGGCCTTGCTTGTAATGCAGTTAAATAACCACAACAGTGAAATCGCTATGTCATGGCACAAACTTACTCGGGCCAGAAGCCGGGAATTAACCATGTGCACTGCAACCTATCGCTGAAACAGCTGCAGAGACAGCAATCCGTACGCGTTGTCAGTATCTTACATCAGGTGTATTTCTTTCTGCTCCACTTATGCTCCGATTTACATGACAGACTCAAAGACCACGGGTATCCTGTTCCGGACTCAGGACAGTTTGTTGTCGTATTTCCATGACACCAAAACCGGAAGTACATATAAACCGGACGATGCAGATATTCGGTTTTTATTCTGACGAGGGGCATGTGCAATCTCCTCTTTTACATTCTGTCGTAACAGAATTAGTGACCGATGGTTTAGGACAAATTCTATGAACTTCAAAGATATTAATTAATTAATTTTTTTCAATTATCATGGGTTGTCGCTGTACATGAAAAATGTAAATACATGTATAAGGTAATTGTGTGATGTGTAAATAATGAATAATGTGATATAAAAACTGAAGATATTTAAAATACAAATATTCGTATGTGCATTTCACAAACAATCTCAAATGGCGTTTCTAAAGCGGGAAAGTATATAAATGTCAGAAGTGAGATTTTAATCTTCCAAAACTAGCTTCTATATGAGATTGTGCTTGTTAGAGACCAAACGATACAACTGGAATAAAATTGTTTCTAAGATGCCTAGCGGTTAGAACAATCGAAAAAAAAATACATTATCAGACAATAAAGGTATAGTTTTTTGATGACGTAACAATTGAATGACGTTATCCCGTCACTGCGCCATTCTAGCGTGCCCCCTCGTAATCGAACCATTTTACATTACGTCACAATGTAAGAGACGTCACGATGCATGTCAGTTGTCATCGCCTCGTACGGCCTCCAACAGTAAACTACACCGATGCATCCAGTTTCTTGGTTTGCTGTTGCTTTACGCAGCTAACATCACTGGTGGAAACATTACGTTTATGTTTTACGACGGTTAAAATGTGTCATTTCGACTCACAAGTTTTCAGCGACACGGTAACGTTCGTAATGTTTACATTCCCACAATGCAATTGTGGAATGTCGCTTGACTACTCAACTTCCTCTGGATGTACTGATCTAAACTTACGCTGGTAGTAGAAATGCAACGTTCATATTGCCCCATATGGTTTACGTTAATGACAGATGTAATTAAAATAATTCAGAGAAGATATTTAATCCGAACGTAAACCGTCATCAAACTGTTATCATTTGTTTTTTTTTCTGGTAACGTTCGTCTTAACGTAGGGGGCAGACACATCAATAGAACAGCGCGCCAGTTAGCCCTGTGCGAGGATTCTTAATTTAGGTCACCGACATCGTCGTTTGTTTTCTGCCTTAAATTAATCGTAATTATCTTTAGAAAGTATTAAATTTGGCATCTTAGAAAAGAAATACACTTCGCCCTACCACCATGTATAGTGTAATAAAACACACTTTCGCCCTGAACTATTATAACGTTAACCCCCTGGCTGCCGAGTTTTTTTTCAGGCGCACATTTTCATACGGTTTGAAAAGTGATCGTTGTGCGAGAATTGCGCTCGCGTGGTCCTGGATCTACGTACGGCTATAAAATTACACAGAAATGTAGAATATTAAATTTCCTATCCGTTGGTATAAATATAAGTGCAACTACCTCGGCGGTTTGAGAAATAGACACTGCTAAATGTTGTCCAATTTTTTTTTATGCGTTAAAAAACAGTAATTTTATCCGCTTTTTATCGCGCACCGATAAAAGCACTGTGCTACGAATTTTTTAATGTGGCATCTTTGCGGAAAGTGTTAGCGAAGAAAATACAGCTTGATATCTGAACGACATAAGTGTATATGAATTGGGTTTATGTGCTTGTGCATAACGTTATACGCTCAACATTAAAAATGACTCGCAATAAATGTCAAAAATGGATTTTCTTCTATGACGTCAAACGACGACAGAGAGGTCATACACATATAATGATAAGGGGGCATAACTCCGTTATGCGTAACACTAGGTCCATGTAACTCAGATCACTTGGAGAGAATTTGTTGTGGATACGGACGCTATATTTTCCTTATTTTATGTTCATGGTGAACCAAACTATCCCAATTCAAAGTTCCCCAATGTGAGCGGATGCAGTTTGGTAGTTTCACAATTTACAAGAAAAATGACAACGTATTACATGTGAAAGCACGTAATAGCGATTTGGATGGCCCTATCCGATATATAAGTTAGCTCTTAGATTCCCATATTGTCCTGTTTGTGTAGATGTATTTTGACTAATTTTGCATCGTTATTACCAGAGTACTAGCCATATCTTCAAATGTAATGAAATTGCTCAAAATAATACACCATTTTAGTTGACGTCATTGCTTGTTTTATGCATTTTGCGACGTCGGAAAAAGACGACACTGGTATGCTGTTTAGTACATATCTCACCTAATTTCCTTTAATTGTGTGAAAGGTCTCGGCTTCTGTGTCAGAATTTAAGACTCTTTAGACAAAACATAAAATGATTGATTTTTCCATTTAAATAGTGTCCTGAATATATCAACAATTAGACAGTTTGACTGTGTATCTTTTTTTGTGAGAAACACGCGCACCTGTGTGGCATCAATTTAACGTAAATGAAAAATAACATTTCACAACACCCGAATATTTTGTTTAGGATAAGAATTTTCTTTGTTTATGATTATGTAGCTATTTCTCTTCATAAGTATGCAATGGAAGATGCAAAAAGATAGCTTTTTATATATGGAACTAGTACGTACTATATCTTAGAATATGGATGTAAGATTTGTCCAAATTAAGACATGACATGGTTTATATATTTTTAAACAATTTTCGTATAAATATAGTTAGAGTTTGATATCCTGTCATCACAATATTTTTAAATCGAATATGAATTGATTATATTATCGAAAACAATGATAGTGAATCATAAAACGTTTCCGACAAACGCGCACCTGGCCAATCAATTTACATCATTGTTTTCTCTATAAACCGACACACAAATGTATAAAAAAAAACAAGACAATTCCTTTAAATATGTGTGCATATACATTTCATACCATATATAAATCATTTTCATTAATATTATCAGTTTTACTTATAAGGTTGAATTAAATCGCCGTTCATTAACCTGTTCATGTGAAACTGCAATATTGGTCCAAATGCATTGAATATTGTACATCATCGGAACTAACGCAATTGCAGTTATGGCTACGTTTGATCTTCTAACACTTGTGTAAAGGTTTAGAATATGGTGTATTGCACTAAATATGTCAATTTCCTGTGTAAATATGATTCAAACAATCAAAAACTTTCAAAGAATAAAACACCGTAAACCCTATACGCACGTATGATATGATATTGAACAAGGCTAAATGTGGATACTGAAGTCAGTTTCATGAAAAAGTATCTGAACTATACGCAAAATATACACCATAATACTGACAGTGTAATCGGAAGGATTGGGCGATTGTGTTTACTCTTGTTCAACCGACCTTCACCTCAAAGAAATTGCCTAATATGTACAACAATGTTGACGTATGACATCACTACCGGTGACCGATTTCTTACAAAATGGCGGCTTTGCTGACAAGGGTACACAGGATTTTGCGAGGACCCTTCCATTGATTCAGGGATCATTTGTCCATAAATATGAGATGTAAGTAATCAGAATGATTCTGACTATCTGTGTATTGTTATATGTTTTATCGTTTTCACTAAAAGTAAGAGAAAAGACAGAAATCCAGATAATTACCGTTGTCGTTCTGCGTGATTTTCCGTCAGTCATGGCGTCACGCTGCACGGAAACTTTGACAATTTCTTATGAATTATCAAATCATTGCATTGTATCTATTTATAATTTCCTATTTCTTGCTACGATACTCTTTCCATGCATATTCCAAAGGTATTGAGCCATTGCAAGCAATGAATAGACGGATGAATGTTGGAAAATTTCAGAAAATGCTACACAGTGTAAAATAGGTTTTTGTCTTTGTTTACATTTCGAACCAGCGCAGTCTTTCGAGCACAGCGTTCGTTTTCACACCAAATATGTTTCGTCTCATTTTATCTAGACAGTTGGCATTGGTGACAAAGACCACTTGCAGTTTGAGTCTAAAATGTATGGGGAGTTTATTGATGCATTTTTCGAAGCTGAATATGAAATATACGTGATGTAATATGCGTCTCAATACCGGCCTTCGCGAAACGTGATTTTGTAAACACTATCCAATATGGCGGAAAGCGCTCTACGGCGTTCGTGTAAGTGCATTTTCGAAAACATCCCAACCGATTCTAGATTCATCGGCAACGTTTCAGAATTTTACTTAGCGATTTCATGTAAAACTGATATGAGTGATCATGAATATCTTATTTTTGAAATTCAATACTCCCAGTAATTATCCGGTTTTCACATTTCAAAACATACAGCAAATAACGCTGTGAATCGCGATTTCGTACTCTGTCAAAAATGGCGACATTTTCGATGAAGCCTATTTTGAAAGGTCATTTTCAGCACTTGAACTTTGTCTAAAATAATAGTGGATGGTATCAAGAAACAGGAAATTTCCCGAAGAATTCGAAACTGTGAAGTGTATTTGTGTGCGTGGGATATTTTGATTTTTATCGGACTTGAAATTGAGGGTTGAAGGGGGAAGGACATATATGTCCCTGTGGCATCCAGGGGGGTTAAAGCACTCGGACGCAAGCGTCCTCGTGCTTTAACTATAATAGTTCAGGGCAAAAGTGTGTGTTATTACACTATACATGGTGGTAGAGCGAAGTGTATTTCTTAATTCACAATGATTTGCAGACCATTATGACGTCATTGTTACCTTGACGTCACAATCAAAACATAAGAAATTTCACTCCATCTGATGCTGGTTTCAACACTGATTATATAACTGTTTCCAACCATAAAAGCAAGAAAAGATCATTTTGGATGATGAATAGAAGCTCACGTTCGAGTCATCTGATACATAATCATCAGCTCTTGTCCATAAAGTTTTAAATTCCCCATGAATCCCCGATGTTATTATCTTCTATTGAATAGTGTTGATATATTTGATATACTAGGTGCGTTTCTGTGTATTTTCCTCTTTGATTAATGACGTCACATTATTATCCACATGGTCAACGTATATGTAGTTGCATACTAATCTCGTACGTCACACGAGTGTCGTATCGCGTTGACCTGTGTCGTAACGACTTGACCTGAGATTCTAACGATTTGAT